GCTGAGCTCATACATCCCGTTTCATCGCTGGAAGATTACAGCATTCAATTGTGAATTGTGTGGTTTCACATATGGCACAGCCCAATCAAGCTTCCCTATGACAAATGACACTTCTCATTCCAGGTGAAGTGATTCTGATCTCCAGTTATGCAAACCGAGTCCAGAGCTGCAAGAGCTGTGTTGGCACACTGCAGTTCTTCCTGAAACCAGTGGTTGGTTGACACTGTACCACAGTTACAGGGTGACAATCAGGTGCTAGAGAAATTGATTTATTCAGTGTAGATGGGGCCTCAGTGGCCATGCTGGCTAGGACAGTGGGTTAGTTAACTCCAGGAGATGTGCACAGCAATAAGGTCTATACTTAACTGAAGAAAGATGAAGAAATGTATTTTATTTTCCTTGTTTCCTAGGATCATCTCCCCTACTCCCATTCTTTTAGTCAAAAGATGGATTTAATTGCATCTTTAGTTCAAAATCACTATCCTTCCCTATCTCAGCAAACTCTGCAAGATATTTCAGCTTTGCTTATGAAACTTTGCTGAATTATACTAGTTTACTCAAGCTGTTTGAGTATCACAAGGGAAATGTGGCAGGAGGCAGGCTTTACCATACTAATCTATTTTTTAAAATTTTTATTTCTGATTTAAGAAAAAGTAGAGAGAAAGGGAGGCTGGATTAGCATGGATATTGCATTTCCAAGGACCTTGCCACTATTAAATAGACTGTTAAGTGCATTTTATGGCTTGGGGAGGCTGTTCCCACTTCTGTCTGGAAAGGCATACTAAGTTCATGTCTACTTGCTACATTACACACTCACTGACTAAAATACTTCCTGTGGATGTAATACCAATGCTCTGTATCTTTTTAGTACATAACGCTAACTGTTTTAGTGCTAGTAAAACCTAACTCCATAAAAGGTCCTGCTAACTTAAGTGTTGTCCCTGCAGGAAAAAAAGTATGGTTCAGATTTAGATAACAATGTGTATCCTTTGTTCAGTTTTACAAATTTCGCATCAGTTAAACTAGCTTTGCCATCCAATGGGAGACCACAAACAAAAGTACTTCTCTGATTAATATTATTTATGAGTGTGCTTAGAAATACCTGTTGCCATAATTGAACGCTCAGTGTGTAATGAAGAGGAAGGGGAGGAAAACTTAAGATATATGTCAGATATCTAAATCCAATTGCTAGTCACAACTAGAATAGATGGACTTACTGAATAGTAAGTTATTTATATAACTTCCATGTATTCAGTTAGTCTTTTTGCAATCCGATTTAGGTCTTACATAACCAGATCCATGAAGATTTCGCTTGAGAGATGGTATAGGTTAAAAAAACAAACAAGCTGTGAATTGGAAAGTGTGGAAAATTCAAGTCATCACAACTATTAGTAGCTTGCTTGGAGGCTGCACCTACCCTACTTGTAAGGGAATAATATTAGCCTCCTTTATAGGATTGTTGAAAGGATTATTGTTATGCTGCATGTGAAATGATAATGTTGCTTTATTGTCAGTATGCATTGTAATATACAGAATATGACATGATAGCTTCAAGGAGCTTGCACTCTAGTTTCATACAACTATCATGAATGGTTGAAACATCAAACTAGGATCTGGAAGTTTCCACTCAGCACCGAATCACACTGAGTGACTTCAAACTAGTCACTCTCCCTCTCAGTCTAAGCCACTTTTCAGGATTGTTGTTCATAAGGAATATGAACCATGTATATATGTAGGTAATAAATGCATACATAAATAAGGATAATCAAACATAAACAGGGAAAAGATTGGGGTTTTCCACTTGGGAATCTTGATATTAGCTTGATAGCAGTGTACTTTGGGTTCTCGAGGGATATGCCAAAGGTGTTCATGATAAAGGTGTCTTTGAAGAGGAATTTGGATGAGACAAGAGAAGTGACATCATGGAAAAATGTTGGGAGTTTGTTCCCAGAACAAACAGGGAGAAAGGGGTATGCCAAGAGGGGGGAGAATATTTGAGGAGAAGCAGGAATGTACAGACATTTAAAAGGAGAGAATTAGGAGCAGGAGGAGAACAGGGCAATGGATAGACTTTGGATGGTAAGAATAAGAAGCTGCATAGGCTGAGAGTTCTAAGCAAAGGAGAACAAAAGAGGGAAGGAAATCCAAAAGAAAATCAAGAATATTACCTTCTATGTTCTTATTTCTCACAGAGTAGACAGTTGATCTGATGGGAATGCCTTATTTTCAGTCAAGATATAGGCAGAGCAAGGCTAAGCATTGACTGATATGACTGTTGTTGACATGTATTGACACATTCTCAATCTCAGAGATCATTAAATGGTTTATTTGTAGAATCATAGACTCTTAGAGTTGGAAGGACCTTCAAGAACCATCTGGTCCAACCCTGCTGCCACGCAGGAACACGTGATTACAGCACTCTTGAAAGATTCAGCTATTCAACCTCTATTTACAGATGTCCAAAGTAGGAGAGCCCACTACCCTTTGAGGCAGTCTATTCCACTGCTGAAAAGTTGTTTCAGTAAAAAAAGGTTTCCTAATTTTTAAGTGAAATATCTTTTCTTGAAATTTGAATTAATAGTGTCCGAGGCATTAAAAAAGCTTAATCCATGTTCCACGTGCCATTCTTTCAGATATATCAGGATGACTTCATGTTACCTCTAAGGCTGGATCTACACTGACCTATATCCCAGGATCTGATCACAGATTATCTGCTTTGAACTGGATTATATTAGTCTCCACTGCCACATAATCTAGGATAAGCAGATAATTTGGGATCAGATCTTGTGATATAGGGCAGTGTAGAGCCAACTTCAGTCTTCTCTTTCCCAAGCTAAACATACTCAGCTCCCTAAGTAATTGCTAATAAGGCTTGGTTTCTAGACCTTTGCCACCCATTATCATCTTGGTCACCCTTCTCAGGATACATTGCATGCTGCTGATATCCGTCTTGAACTATGGTGCCCAAAACTGGACATAGTATTCCATATGAGGTTTAACCAGAGTGAAATAGGTGGTAATAGTGCTTCTCTTATTATTCGACCTGTATGCATGTCCTATCAATTGATTGTAACTGATGAATGTCATAGGGTTTTCTTAGACAAGGACTACTCAGAAGTGGTTTTGCCAGAAGTGACTGCTTAGCTTTCAAGAGCAGATGGGATCTGGTGCCTTGAGTGCAGAGCTTTCCAAACTATGTGTCATGACATGTTAAGTTTGTCAGCTGCAGTGTGTAGGTGTGTTGTGCAAACATAACAAGAAATCTCTGGGTCTGTGCAAAATAACCTATTAAATATATATTTAAAATATAAATGAGGGTTAATCATGAGACACGTTTTGTCCCCATATTTATAATTTATGTATGTGTCTGTATCACTTATAAGGGGTTGCTTTCACTTCCGGTTTGCCAGTTAAACTGAATTACTGTATTGCGAAACGTTGCATGTCTATAAAGTGTGTCACAAACATGAAATATTTGGAAAGCTCTGCTTTAGAGTATTCAGGCCAATAAGGTCAGCATAGATATGCATTGTATTGTCGAAAATTTTCATGGCCGGAATCACTGGGTTGTTGTAGGTTTTTCGGGCTGTATAGCCATGTTCTAGAACCATTCTCTCCAGACATTTCACCTGCATCTATGGCAAGCATCCTCAAGCTTGTGACCTCACAACCCTAGATATGGATTGTGCTGGTTTGAACAAGGACAACTAGTAGCTGTTCAATGAAAAAATTTACAGTAGATTATATTTTCAGTTTACTCAAACAATTGGAGTTGTGAAGCAAAAAAAAAAATCAAAGAAATAACACTTAAAAATTAAAAACCGTTATTAGAACATGGTAAAACAGTAAAACTATATTAGATGTAGTTTGTATAATTTTTTTGGTCTTAATGTGCATCTCAGTATTAATATCAATAAAGAGTTAATGGTATGGGATGGTATAGTATGGGGGTTATTATTAGTGTTATATTAGTATTAGTTAGGCCTGTTTTTAATAACTCTCAAATAACAGAATCAACATTTACCTGGCACCTATCTCTCTTTGGTATATAAATTAATAGCTTGATATTCTGCTTGACTTTGCATCATTTTTAAAAAGAAAATGTTTAGAGGATTTCTTCTAAAATAATAAGAATCAATTGCACACGGGAGTTCTATGAATACATGTTTATTATTCATTCAACAAGCATAAGCCGCCTTCGTTGTACAGCAAGCATGGGCAAACTTGAAGAAGAACTTAATTTTTCTACCTTGCCTCCATCTCCCCGAGGGGACTCAGGGCGGCTTACATGGGGCCAAGCCCAAGGCAGCATACAATTAAAAACAAAACAATAGCATATTAAAATAGCATAAACAATAATAAACAAGCATCATAACCAACAACAGACTCTTGGAGAGGAGGGAAGGGGCCAATATGCAAAACTAGTTAAAGGATAGAGTGGTCAATAAGGTGGATAGAAATTTATAGTAGCACAGAAATAGTAGCATAGAAATAGAGCAATTAAACAGGAACAATTTAGCTTAACTTAAAAATGTAGTAATCAAATATAGGAATTTGGATTCAGGTCCTCCAGGAGTTTTGGACTTCAACTCCCACAATTCCTAACAGCCTACAGGCTGTTAGGAATTGTGAGAGTTGAAGTCCAAAACACCTGGAGGGCCCAAGATTGCACATGCCTGCTGTACAGAATTGTTTCCCAAACCTTTGTTTATAGACTCCAACTTCCAGAATCCTCATCCAGCTTGGCCAATGGCAAGGCATTCTGGGAGCTGAAGTCCAAATCATCTGGAACACCAAACTTTGAGGAATACGACGTTTTCTTATTTCCCCCTGGAATCTATTTTCGGAGGAGCGTGTTTGGGGGAAGTCTTTTTTTTCTTTTGAGGAGGTTACCAACGTCAACCTCATGGATAGAAAGGGGGAAAAAAAAGAGTGTTTGCTTGCGCGCATGCGTACACACGCCTATTAAACCATGGGGAAGATACTGCGCATGCGCTCTACCAGAGGAGGCGGGTCCAGGAAGCAGGTCGAGCGGTGGCGCGCCCATTCATCTCCCTTTCCGCTCCTGTCACTCTCGGTGAGTTCGAGGAATGTCTGAGGGGATGGGGAGGGGCTGAGAGGCCCAGGCGCCAGAGAGCGAAAGCAAGCTAGGAAGCAAGGAAGGAAGGAGAGGAGAGGAGAGGAGAGGAGTCTTTGGGTGTCATTGAGTCTCTTGCCTGGACACAGCCCCCCTTTCCCGCCACTTTTAGGAAGGGAGGAACCAATGGGTGCAGGCATGGGCGAACTTGGGCCCTCCAGGTGTTTTGGACTTCAACTCCCACAAATCCTAACAGCCTGTAGCCTGTTAGGAATTGTGGGAGTTGAAGTCCAAAACACCTGGAGGGCCCAAGTTCGCCCATGCCAGGGTTATCTTCATTCTTTTCCATTGAAAGTTTCATCGAAGGCTTCATTTCTGTTTTCAGGAACTCTTACCTATCTCTGGAGGAATGTATTATGTCAGCTCACTCATAGACAAACACTAATTGCATATTATTTCTCCTAAATACTTGGGACTAAAGATATTTTAGAATACTTGCATCTGTCTATAACGATAATACATTTTGTTTGTTACCCGCCTCTCTTCATGGTGCAACACAATTAAAACACATCATCATAAAACACATTTAAGCACACTACCACCATATATATATACACACACACACATACATACATACATACATATACATACATACCCACACATATATACCAGCTGTTCCCCTGGCACGCGTTGCTGTGGCCCAGTCTGTCTATATGTGTTTTGTGCATGTATATGTGTGTTTGCTTATGTAGTTTTGTGCATCGTTGTAATGTAATGTTTGGGGCTTGTTTGTTTTTTTTGCTTTTAAAGTTTCTTCTGTGTTTTTCAATATTTTAATGAGTGATGGACACTTGTTGGCCTGATAAATGTATTGTGTCCAAATTTGGTGTCATTTTGCCCAGTGGTTTTTGAATTATTTTAATCCCACAAATGAACATTACATTTTTATTTATATAGATATATAGGCAATCTTTGAGTTACGAACATCCAACTTACAAATGACTCATAGTTAAGAACGGGGTGAGACAACGGAAGGGAAATATACTCCTGTAAAAGTCGTCATGGGGAACCTATCCTTGCCATTTCTGAAGAGTGTTGATGTTTATATAAAATGAAATCAATTATTTATCATTTTCAGAATACAAGCAGTCCCTGAGTTACAAATACCTCACTTACAAATGACTGATAATTAAGAATGAGGGCGAGACAACAGGAAGTGAGAGAAATCTCCCTCTGGGAAGGGAAGTTAACTTCTGGAAGAGTTATCATGGGGATAAGACTCCACTGAAGCTTTCTCACCAGTCCTGGTTTCCACAACAAGCCAAAGTTTTCAAAATCCAATTATCACAGCGACAGAAAGTGAGACGAAATCTTCTGAACAGGTTACAGGCAGAAAAACAAACACCACGGGGTGTTAACTCTCCCCAATGCTATCCAAAACTAAGAAATATATATATTTGGCTGAAGTTACACTTTTAAAATGTAACTGTTCCGACAAGTGATGAACAAGGGTTGCTCAACCTAAGAACAAGCCTTGTTTTTAACTTGTTGACTGCTAATAACAACAACTATGATGATGATGTTACCCACCTCGAGGTGTGGTACAACACAATTGAAACTGACAGATAAAACAACATCATTTAAATACATATACCAAAAATACATACAACAAAGATTAACATTAAGCACAAAAGTGGCTGTCACTATCCCTGGCAACATATTCCATACCATAAATAAGTACCCCTATATTACTGAAGATGGAATATCCCTTATCCCATAGAGCTTAGAACCTGGATTTCTGCTCTGGATTTCAAATGCATTTATTTATTTATTTATTTATTTTTGGAATAGCTTTATTTGCATATGAGTTCATTTCCAAAAGCCCCCCCCCCCCCCAATGAAAACACAACACAATTAAAACATAGGTAGTAGCACACTGTTGGCTAGGAGTAGAATAGTATGCACAGATTTAAACTTTCAAACATCTCAAATCACTTGGGCTTCGAAAAATGTATTTTATAGCAAAAGAATGCACAAGCACTTTTTTCCATTTCCTGTAAAAATTGTTCTGATGGATTTGGTACCTTTTTGAAACAAGCTCCACACACACACGTGCACACACACACACACACACACACATACACATAATGAGGCATCTTGGAGATGGGACACACAATTCAATTAGAATAAAATAGCTTTTTGTCGTACTATTTCACAACAAAACTAAATGCTTTCCCCAGCGCACACCACAAAACAAAACACCCATTCCTCCACACTGACCACCACCTCACAGCCCTGAATGCCACATCAATGTGAAACCATGGAGTTCATCATAGCCGTAGCTCTTGGATATAAGCTATCTCTCAGTCTGTTTGTCCTTGTCTTTATCATCCTGTACTGTCTGCCATATGGCAATAATTCAAAAAAAAAAATATGCCTGGTGAGATGGATCCCCAAGAATGCTCTGAGTTTTCTTACGGCAGTGGGACCTATTAAGTTCTTCCAAAGAGGGGAGAGGGCAACCAACGATTCTCTGTGCAGTAGTGTGTGATCCTTTGCCTTCCTGTCTGCCACTGTGCAGTTAGCAAACCATGCACAGGACACTCTTTATAGAAAGTCACCAGCAGTTTTTCATTCAGTTGCTGGTTCCTTAGAAGTCTCAGGTAGTAGTCTCTGCTGGGCCCTCTTAACCAACCATGCCGTATGGATGCCCCAGGTCATATCTTCTTTAAGTAACACACAGGAACCTAAAACTGGCCACCTGCTCCACTTGGTCTCAATTTATGACAAAGGGCTGAATTTCTGGTCTGTTCTTTCTGTAGTCCACTCTGAGCTCCTTGGTCTCATTGATGTTAAAAACCAGATTATTGTCACTTCACCACAGGAGCAGCTGATCCACCTCATCCCAATAGGAAGGCTCATCCCCTTTAGAGATAAGCCCCACCACGGTTGTATCATCTGCACATTTGGTAATTATATTGCTATGGTGGATGGGGGTGCAATTATATGTGTAAAGGGTATAAAACAGGGATCAACACACAGTCCTGTGGCGTCCTAGTATTGAGTGAGAGCTGATGAGATATGATTACCTAATCTAACCCTCTGGGAACATCCAGACAAGAATTACGTTTCGTAAACACTTTGTACACATAGGTAATTGTATGCACAATGTTTGTAATAATGTTGTGCACGGAATAAAGTTTGTTTAAAGTATACCACCAGAAAGTAAAGGTGTCAGTTTTTCCTTCACCCAGGTGGACAATTTTGGAAATCAGAATTCCAGATAAAAGAGAAGCTAGACCTATAACTGTACTGGATATTATAATGTAGATTTGGTTTTGAGTTTGTTCTGAATGGTAGCAATTGTGTCACTAAAGTCATTGTCACTAGCCCCATAGAACTCATCCTGTACCAGAACATAACAATGTTGCTGCTAAAATACCAGAAGATTTTACATTAGCAGAGACTAAAAGAAAATCCAAGTAATAACGAAAACAGCACTGTTCGCTTGTAGTGTGTGCAGACCACATGATTCGAAGCATAACCAATTGAGTAATAATGACAACTCACCAAAATGCAGGCACATTAGAAGATTCCAAAAGCAAATTAGCATGTTGTTTTAGCCTTGTGGGTATATACAGCATATGTAGACTTATAAAAAATGTTGTTTTTTTTGTTATAGTTAACTACAGGGATTTTTTTTTTAGTAAAAATTATTACATTTCTGTTGAAACCCTGCACACAAAAAAAATAGACGGTCATTCCGCTATTGCATTTTCTGATAGTGTCATTCAATGTGGTTCGCTCATACTCCACACTCCTAGTGGCATCTCTGAATATTAATTTTCAGACCAACAATATGGGGACTGTTAAAACACACCATGATAGCAAGTTTTGGGCATGTGCAGAGTTCAATTGATTTACAAATCAATGGCCATCAATTGGCACTGAACATTCTGAATCCTGAACATACTCTTCTAGCATCAGAGACTGTGTTTGGGCAAGTCAGTGTGGTATCTAAAAGTTTTGCATTTCTTTACATATGACATAGCCATTCTTTGAGCGTTACAGAATATCACAGGTTTTAAATTTCTGTTTCAATGGCAATTCTGCAGAGCAGTTATTGCAGATCTGCTTTGGATTGCTGATGATATGAGGGCGTTTCATATTTAGCACTATGGATGCATGTACATTGTAGAATGAATGCAGTTTGATGCCACTTTAACTGCCATGGCTCAAGGCTATGGGATCATGGGAGATGTGATTTTAAAAAGCATGTGACCCCTTTCTTCCAAAGAGTGCTGGTTCTTCACCAACTACAAATCCCTTGTTTCCATAGTCTTGAGCCATGGCAGTTAAAGTGGTGCCCAACTTCATTAATTCTACAGCGGATATGTATCCTATGATTCCACTTTAACTGTCATGGTTCGATAATATGGAATTGTGGGATTTCCAGTTTAGGGAGTATTTAGAAATATCAGACAAATTTAATGCCTCAACAAACTATAATCCCCAGGATGCTGCCATGGCAATTAAAGTGGACTATAGTTCTATAATTGTTTGATGCAAAACAGCTTTTATAGGGACAATTCTGTTTTAGATAACTCTCTTTTGGAATAAAATGCTGTTTTTACTGATTTCTAAAATATATTTTCATCTCATTTTTAGGGATTTTAGAGTTGTTTAATGCATTATAATAAAGCAATGTAAAGTTAGCTTGGAAGCTGCAGTGTTTCATGTCTTACAAACCTGTATGATACATTTTCAAAAAGACAGCTGTGTTAGCAGAGACTAAACCCTGGTTATGGGATCAGGCGTTCACATAATAGTTTTACTGGGAAAGACAAGATTTATTGGACTGAACTTGGACTGCTTTGGATGAAGATTTTAATTCTGGTGATTTTAAGCTGGCAAGTGGGTTCTTAATGTATATTTAGAATTATTTAAATTTTGTGGAGGTATTTATTATGTGTTTTATATTATGTTTGGCTTCAAACTGTTGCCTGTTTGGATTCCGTTCTCGAGTCCCTCTGCGGAGGTCGAGAAGGATGGGGTATAAATGTTTTAAATAAAATAATAAAAAATTAGTCTGTTTAAAGAGGAGCACATTTCTTATACCATAACTATAAAAAGCATGTTGTTCCTAGGACTGTGGGCAACAGCATGGAGAGTTATACAGAATTTCAGGTGTCAGAGGCATAACACACGTTTGAGTGTGGGACTCTAGACAGTGAAGTCAAAGAGATGCTAAATTTCAAATCGTATGTTCTGAAATTCTTGACTGTCCTTTTGAAATTTCTTTGCTCTACAAGAGCTACTTTAAGGTCAGTGTTCAGAGGAGGCTGAAATATTCTGCCATTGGTTTTTTGTGAACACTGCTATTTGTTTGTACATTGTGTGTCCATTTATTCTTTTGCAGTGATTGATCTGTGTGCAGATTCCAACATCACACAGGAAGATGAGCAAGTGAATTACCATATATACTCATGTATAAGTCAACTGCATGTATAAGTCGAGAGCAGGTTTTGAGGCCCAAAATATGGATTTTTTTATATAATTGATGGCTAATTCAAGGTTATCTTTTATAAGCAAAATGAAGCCTACCACCCAGCTAGAAACCACAACACACAAGGAAACAAACACAAGACACAGATGCCAATTTTGAACCCATATGTCCTCTAACATGTAGTTCATCCTATAATCATTTTAGATCATAGTAGGACTAACATTTCATGATTCTGTGTTTACAAATGTGTGTTTGTCAGTTTTTCATATTTTGCTTTATTTATTTACCATATTTGTATCTTACTCTTCTCACCCCAAGGGGGACTCAGAGTGGCTTACATATTGGCGCAATTCAATGCCACATTGAAACATAAACATTGTTGTTGTTCATTCGTTCAGTCGTCTCCGACTCTTCGTGACCTCATGGACCAGCCCACGCCAGAGCTCCCTGTCGGCCGTCACCACCCCCAGCTCCTTCAAGGTCAAGCCAGTCACTTCAAGGATGCCATCCATCCATCTTGCCCTTGGTCAGCCCCTCTTCCTTTTTCCTTCCATTTTCCCCAGCATAATTGTCTTCTCTAAGCTTTCCTGTCTCCTCATGATGTGGCCAAAGTACTTCAACTTTGTCTCTAGTATCTTTCCCTCCAGTGAGCAGTCGGGCTTTATTTCCTGGAGGATGGACTGGTTGGATCTTCTCGCAGTCCATAACAACATAAACATAACAAACTATAAATACATAAAACAGTAAATAATTAAACATAAAACAATAACATACAAATATAATCAAAACCAGATTTTAAACAGCAATTAAACGCTTTATATACTTTATACCTAAGTGTATAAAAGTGGTTTTTTTAACATAGAAAAAAGCAGACTTTCGGGAATAAAATAAAATATTTTGCCAAGTTTCATTAATGCTTTCTATTGGAGGCACCGTCCCCATAATCAAAGAGGTAAATACTGAGTCATTATTCTATTTTGGAAGATATCTCCAGTATGTAAATAAACTAATTGTGTGGACTTTAGAGTCAAAAAGTGTGTGGAATCATTGTTTCTGTTCTTGTTTCAAGGTGCCTTCTGATGTGTGAAGACCAGCTATGGAAAAATGGAGCTCAATGACAATTACTGTGTTATTAGGACTTACTATCCGTTGGGCTGTGTCCCTTGGTTCTTATTCAGGTACTTCATATTCAAAATGTGTCTGAAATAGTACTCGGGGATAATTCTTTTGTGGAAGTTACAGTTATGAAATATATCTGGGAAGGGAATGTGTGGTTGTATATTGCAGCCATAGCACTGCAAATCCCATTACCCCATCCATTTTAGCTATTACTCAGAGACTATAGTAGCTAGAGTCCAGCAGTATTTGCAGAGTCGCATATTTCTCATTCCTGACCTCTAAGGTGGTTTATCCTCCGTGGCTGCCCTGGACTCTGGAATTTCCTTCCCAGAAATGTTAGGCTGGCATCATCTCTACTTTCATTTGAACCTCCTTCATATGCTACAGCCAGAAAACCCAGATTTTTCCAACATCTGGGCTTTATCATATATGTGTCACAAAAAATAACATATGATACCAAGCAGATAATAAAGAGGTGTCTTCTCTCTACTTGCCCTCTGGCTGTTTGTACAGCAGGCAGTAAAAGCTTTGATTAAACCCAAGTTTGCTATATATAAAGTGTTAATGAGTTGTGCTACCCTAGCAAAGCTTTGTTTCCATGCACAGCAGTGTTTTAATATTAAGTTGCAACCATTATCTAATTATAATGCCAACATTAACAATTTTAAAAGATAACTATCAAGTACATCCCTGAAACAAACGTTCAACTTATTAAAAGCTAAGCTTGTTTTTTTTGTAGTTGTCTATCTTGCAACTTGTGCTGTATTTCTCAAGATTACTTTTAGTAAAAGTGTAACTGACCTACTCATTGCCTATTAGTCATTTTTCACATTTAAGAATATTGAAATTGCTGAATAATTACAAAATAATGGTTTGTCATAAGGAGCTTATGTTATGCACCATTAATTACTTCTGTATGTTGACTGGATAGAAAACTGGCTAGAAATATCCTGGCATTTGACCAATCATTTTAAATTTTACTTTTTAAACTTAGGAATCTTTTAGTCCTTTAAACGCAAAGCTTAGTCCTTATAATAAAGCAATATAAATGTGCTGCTTTGAGGCCTGCTTAGTAATAATTTTTAAAATGTTACACTTTACTGCTCCCTCCCCACTCCCAGAATAAGATTGTGGAATTATTATTCTCTGCTTTGGAAGTGGCTCCCTACTTATAACTTAAAGGCTACAGTCCTACACACTGGATGCTTAAAGCCCAATAATTTCAGGGAGATTTAGGTAGCCTAATTAGCCAGAACAAAACCCCAAGACAATATAGGAAGCACATCGCTAAAATGAAAGGAGTAACGGGTTGGTATCGCTGTTGAATTTAATACTTAGTTACCTACCACCAATGAACTGAGATTCACATTATTCTCTCTTTGATATATTTCAGCCAAGATCTGAAATGGGATTCTAAACTTTAATGCATTTTGCTTGGCTAAACCAGCAAAGAATGCACTAGAGGCTAAAAAGCAAACCTCTGTTTTGTTTCCTATTCTGAATGTTAAGAATTGTGTGATTTGAGTTGACCTAGAATCATAGAATCCTTGAGTTGAAAGAGGACCCTCTCCCAAGAAGCAGGAAAATCACATTCAAAGCACCCCCTATAGATGACCATCCAGCCTCTGTTTAAAAGCCTCCAAAGAAGGAGCCTCCCCCACACTCCGGGGCAGAAATTTCTACTGCTGAACAGTTCTCACAGTCAGGAAGTTCTTCCTAATGTTCCACATCCTAGTCTCCGGGGCAGCAGAAAACAAGCTTGCTCCCTTCTCCCTATGACTTCCCCTCACATATTTATACATGGCCACCATGTCTCCTCTCAGCCTTCTCTTCTTCAGGCTAAACATGTCCAGCTCTTTAAGCCGCTCCTCATAGGACTTGTTCTCCAGACCCTTGATCATTTTACTCGCCCTCCTCTGGACACATGGCCCAAACACGAATCAAGGAACATGGAAGGCACTGCAGACTACTTCAACCAGTGAAATCAGCCATAGCAGAGCACCTGATGAACCAACCTGGACATATCATATTATTTGAGAATACAGAAATGCTGGACCACTCTAACAAATATCATTCAGACTACACAGAGAAGCCATTGAAATCCACAAGCATGTGGACAATTCCAACAGAAAGGAGGAAACCATGAAAACGAACAAAATCTGGATACCAGTATTAAAATCAGGACAATAAATAAAGAGGAACACTCAAAGATAGGGGAATTCCAGACAAGAAATAATCAGGGCCAGCTAATCCCAACAAAGGATTCCCCCGGGCAGGAAGCAGCCAAGCCTTGAAGCTGCAAGGCCATTCAGTGCTAATCAAGGTGATCGGCTGCAACATTCACATTTGCCTCAAACAGACAAAGAGTTTTTTCTCTCACCCTGGATATTCCACAGATATATAAACATCACTTGCCTTATTTCCAACAAACCTCACAACTTCTGAGGATGCCTGCCATAGATGTGGGTGAAACATCAGGAGAGAATGCTTCTGGAACATGGCCATACAGCCTGGAAAACTACAGCAACTCAGTGATTCTGGCCATGAAAGCCTTCAACAGCACAATACTGCCTTAGTGTTGCAATTATATTAAGGAGATTATAATAAACTGTGTCTAGAAATAAACATCATTGGCACTTTTGCAACTATTTCAGTCCCATGAATATGACATGCTCAACTGATGGCAGCAGACATGCAGTAGAGATCGCAGACAAAGAGATCCATTTGGACCCTATTGCTTTGTATGGCTTTCATTTGATCCATGAGCAAAAGTAATAATATAGCTCATTTGGGATATCTGTGCTGTTAGTCTTTTCCTTTGCTGTTTTTTCCTCTTCAGATGACCACTGTGAACACTTCTGTTCATAAGGAAACTGACCTTATTGAAAACCTCATATCTGAAGAAAGCCAGACAAAGTTATTTTTGCTGCATGGGGCAGAAAAGCAAATGCAACTGAAAACCACTTTATTTAACAATTATTGTATAATAGCTAAAACCAACTAAGTAATTTTGGGATATGAAGCATATTAATCTAAAATGCACATCTCTTTGCACACATGATAGTACAAATACTATCATTAGAAATTTAGTAACGAGCATTTGCTTCCCTTTGGTGGTGACATTCAAAATCTGCTGCCTGAGTCAGTTGGCAGACTTTTCATAAATGTGGGACTGTCCTTGTCTCTGAAGATTCCTTTTTTGTAGAAAAGATATGATCCCAATGCTTCAGGTTGTATCCTTCTCTGCTTGTGCAAATTGTCCAAACATAGATCATATCAAGAAGTATAGATGGCTTTCCTATATTTAAAAGAAACTCTTCAATCTCCATGAAGTTAGCGTCAATATCTTAAGAGAAACAAGTATGTGCTTTCAATAGGTAATCAGAGGAGACAGGAGGTGAATAATCTGTATGCCTAGGTTTTTAAAGTGATACTATCACAATTAGAACATTCTGTAAAATACTGATTTTAAAAACACTCAGAAACTTTCTATTGATAAAAAAACCCATGCAAAATTATAAGAACATATGTCAAAGAGAAATAATGGCAGAGAAAGAGGAGTGAGTAGGGAACAATCCCAGTTACTCAAAGTGAAACACAGCTCTGGTAGACATAACTCCAGTTTCATATGAGAATTAGAAAGAGAGACTTGGAAGAGGACTCTATAACATTGCAAATAAGAACATCAGCTATTTATAGAAAGACTAAATGAGAAGAAAACTCTAATGTAAATGACCGAAAGTTGACTAGACTAGAAATGTCTAGCATTGCACTTTATGTCTAAGACAGTGGTCCTCAACCTTTTTTTGATCAGGGACCACTTTGACCAGGAGTCACTCTCCAACATTGGTACCAAAAGGATTATGAATTGGTTTTTGGTCAACTTTAGATTCGGTTTGCTTATTTGCGATGCTGATTCAGAAAATTGCATTGGATAGATCAACTCTAGTATAGGAGCCCCCGGTGGCACAGTGGGTTAAACCCCTGTGCTGGCAGGACTGAAGACCGACAGGTCGCAGGTTCAAATCCGGGGAGGGAATGGATGAGCTCCCTCTATCAGCTCCAGCTCCTCATGCCAGGAAATGAGATAAGCCTCCCACAAGGATGGTAAAAACATCAAAAAAACATCTGGGCGTCCCTGGGCAACGTCCCTGGGCACTTCTGACACACACACACAAAATCAACTCTAGTTTCTGATACAGAACATATGCCATCCAGTAGTCCCCATCTGCTTACTCAAAGAAAACTATATTTAATAAGTCTCGGCACTATAAGAGGATTTTGCGAGACCAGTCACTCTCATTGCAACAGTGTAGTAACAGTGATGCCGCAAACCATATTTTAGTCCTTGTAGACCACTGGTGATGGGAACCACTATTCTAAGGAAAACAACAGTTTGATTGAGGCAAGCTTGAGCGAAGCTCTGGTTCATACTGCATTCTGGTTCATATATTATCCTCCTGCAGCATTAAGAAATGTGTTCCTGAATGTTTGAAGACTGAAATGAAATGACTACATGCCCTTCATCAGAGAAGTGGAAATCTGTGAGATGGGGTGTGTGGGAAATACAATGATGAGGAGTTTTTATGATCAAGTCAGAGGGTGCTGTGGCATTAGCTATGAATAGATTTTAATTGGTTTTTAGGAGTTTAACTGTTTATTTGGAATACTGTTCATTTTAAATTCCATTTTAATGTTCGTATATTTTTAGGTTTGAATTTAATTGTATTGGTTTAATTGTGAGTTGTTTTGAGATGCTTTTTAGATATAAAAAGCAGGATATAAATACTAATACCAATGATTGCTGCAGTCCAACTTTGTGCATTTAATATGGACTTGGGCCCCTTTACACTGTACAATTATAAGACTATCATGTCATTGTAACTAATATGGCAACATGCTCTAGAATCCTAGGAGTTGTAGTTTGGTGAAGCATTCATAATATCTGTCTGAGAATTATAACTATCATTTCCTAAAGTGGAAACCCCAAGATGCCATAGGATGGAAGCACATCAACTGCAGTGGAATTACAAAACTATAATTGTGTAGCATCAGAACACCCTTTGTATCTGTTTTTTGAGCAAATGAATTAGAACATTGCTAAAAGAAGCCTTCAAGGCACCAAGTATCCAAATGTCACAGTGAAATATTATTCTGCCTCAAAGGCAACCATTATTTGGGGTGGGGTGGGGGGCTCTGCTGTAAATACTGGAAGCACAATATCAGATTGATTTGCAAGCAGTTAAAAGTAATCACAATGAAGAAGCTAATGCATGCTGATTTATGCAATTTCACCCCTTTTTTATAGGTGCAGGGAAGCCACCTATGTATGGGGACTATGAAGCTCAAAGACACTGGCAAGAGATTACTTATAACCTGCCAGTCAAACACTGGTATGTTCTCATTTTGAAAATGTTTATTTTCCCCTCAAATAAGGAAACTTATAATCCTGGGCTGTATATATTAGGCGTTTGACTAAGTGCTACAACAATTGGCAATGATGATTGGAACGGAATATGGATAACGAGATTGGATTGTGATTCTATGATGAGACGTCGCGAATTATTTAGTGTAATTGTATTATTGATAGTGATGTTGTTATTGTTGTTTGTGATATTGCCTTTATTGTAAATTGTTTTTATATGTTGTACACCGCCGTGAGTCGCCCTAGGGCTGAGAATGGCGGTCTACAAGTGCAGTAAATAAATAAATAAATAATAAGTAATATATTGGAAAAATCTAAAGGTACAACTCATTCAATATTACGACTTACATAGCTTACTCAAAAGTAGCCATCATAATATCCAGTGGACTTATTTACAGGCAAGTGTGCCAAGTTTCAAATAACTGCATTTGTTAAATTATTCCAGTCATATTTATGATTATTATATGTATTTATTTCTTATTGTGAAATTACAATTGCAGTAGAGTCTTGCTTATCCAACGTAAACGGGCCAGCAGAGTGTTGGATGAGTGAAAATGGTGAATAATAAGGAGGAATTAAGGAAAAGACTATTAAATGTCAAATTGTGTTATAATTTTACAAATTATGCACCAAAACATCATGTTTTACAACAAAACAATAGAAAAAGCAGCTCAATACATGGGGTTTTTATGTATAAATTACTGTATTTACGAATTTAGCACCAAAACATTGCAATATATTGAAGCAGCTGTGGATCCGGGCGGGATAATACAGAACGTTGGATGAGCGAAGCTTGGATAAGTGAGACTCTACTGCAATAAACTTACATTTGATTGATGTATCTAAATTGTTTGGAAATGTTGTGCACCATAATATGAGACGAAACCCCATACAAAATTCCCATCTCTTTATGCCTTAAAATAATAATGTGATGTACTGCCACTGAAGTTTAGCATGCATATATAAACCATCTTTTACCGTTATTTGTACAGATGGATACAAATATGAAATCTCTGGAATCTGGAGTTGATGCCAAAGGAGCAATTTCTGATTTTTATCTATCTAGTGTGACATTTTATGTATCGCCAGATATTTAGATAGGAACTTTGATGCCCTTTGTGCCATTGCTTTACTTTAAACTGTCTTGGAAGTTTGTACCATTGGATACAAGAGATGATGGATGACATTTGTATTGGTATTAATATGCAAGAGCCCAAAAGGGAAAGACAAAGAATGAAATAATCTTTAAAGGAGAAACTGATACTTAGGATGTATTGAGATTCTCAAAGTACAAAATGGCTCAGTTCAGGGTGGAAGACAGAAAGCACAGCGTTGTTGCTGTGGCATTAACTATGACGGGACAAGGAGAGCTTGGAAAGTGGAATTTATAAACATGGCTTAGAAGAGGCTGCCTTAGGGGAGGGATAACTCTTTGCCACATTGTGGTTTATTGCACTACTGCCACCAAATGCAAAGGTTTTCTATTTCTTCTTTAGGTGACTTCCACTTATCTCAACCACTGTCACAAATGTGAGGGCTTTCCCTTTATCCTCATTTTTGCCTCTAATGTGTGGACCTCTTCCTGTCTTATTGCCGTGGCCACCAATTGTGAGGACCTCTTAGATGCTGTTGCGGTTGCCGTCTTAGATTTTATTTATTTTCTATCTCCACCAAAAGCCACCATTCTTTATTTTAATCTGCTGCCACCACAGACACCATGTCTGAACTCAATTTTGCAATATGTAGCATTCCCGGAGGCAAAAGTATATAATACAAAAACAATGATTTATTAAACAGAATTTGCACGTAACATCACAGATTCATTATTTAATACATCTAAATCACATTCCACACTCTTGTCTAATTCTAGTCTTACAGCTAACTCTGACCATGACTCTCCTGCCACTCATATTCCTAAAACCCACTGATTCCTAATCCTGACAGACTACTAATCCTAACCTTGACAGATCCAGCCCTCAATCACTCTGACTGCTGTACCCACCTGCCTTTTCAAAATGCCCTCAGACATCCAACCTACCTTCAGTCCCTCTCAACATTGCATTCTTTCACTCCATCCAGACAGCTCTTTACCTTTTAACATGCAATGCACAGTGCATGCATAACCATTTTACATTAATAGCTAATAAGCAAAGCAAAAATTTCCCCTGAAAAGTTGGGGCCCATAGGTAGAACAGATGAAATCCCAATCTTGGTGTCTCCTGTTAAAAGCAAAAGGCAATGGCAAGAATGGGAAAGGCTTTCTGGAAACTGGGAATTCTTGCCTATAGTTAACATGTTATATATTAATCAATGGCATCTTTCAGTGTAAGTTAGCTTGAATATAATATTGGTAAAGATCCAGGTTATCTGAAGGACCGTATCTCTTTCTATGAACCTGGGAGACATCTATAATCTACTGGGGAGGCCCTTCTCTGGGTCCTACCACCCACGCAAGCGCATTTGGTGGGAACATGGGAGAGGGCTTTTTGGTAGCTACTCCCAGACTGTGGAACTCCCTCCGCAGAGAGACCACCCTCAGGCCTCATCACACTAGAGAAAAAATCCACTTAAAACTCAGTTTCTGCCTCCTGCAGAATTCTGGGGTTGTAGTTTAGGGAAAGGCCTCACTAAACTACAAACCCCAGAATTCTGCAGAAACTGGATTGTAAGTGGATATTTTCTCTAGTGTGATGAAGTAGCAATCACCCCATCCCTGCTGGCCTTCTGCAGACAAGTCAAGACCTTCTTCTGGCAGCCGGCATTTGGGGAAGGAGGTGCAGGTGGGATTGGGTGGGGGAAGGCTGTGAATTTTAAAGGCTATTTTAAGTGTATTTCTTGTATTTTCATATGTTACAATTTATTGTTTTTTAACTTTTGTATTCCGCTTTTTAAACTTGACTAAGTGTGAAATTGTTAGCCACTTTGAGTCCCCACAGGGAGAAAGATGGGTTAAAAATAAAGGTAATAATAATAATAATAATAATAATAATAATAATAATAATAATGCAGATAGAATCATAGAGTTGGAAGAGACCTCATAGGCCATCCAGTCCAACCTCCTGCCAAGAAGCAGGAAATGATGCCAACTTTGATGGCCGAAAGTGAGGAGCCGAGGAGCTGAGGAGCCTTCTAACCAAGGTGAAAGAAGAAAGTGCAAAAGTTGGGTTGCAGTTAAACATACAAAAACAAGATTATGGCAACCAGACTGATTGATAACTGGCAAATAGAGGGAGAAAACGTGGAGGCAGTGACAGACTTGGTATTTCTAAGTGCAAAGATTACTGCAGGTGCAGACTGCAGCCAGGAAATCAGAAGACATTTACTTCTTGGGAGGAGAGCAATGACCAATCTCAATAAAATAGTAAAGAGGAGAGACATTACATTGGCAATGAAGATCCACATAGTTAAAGCAGTGGTATTCCCCGTAGTAACCTATGGATGCAAGAGCTGGACCATAAGGAAGGCTGAGCGAAGGAAGATAGACTTTTTTGAACGGTGGTGTTGGAGGAAAATTCTGAGAGTGCCTTGGAGCGCAAGAAGATCATACCAGTCCATACTCCAGGAAATAAAGCCCGACTGCTCACTGGAGGGAAGGATATTAGAGGCCAAGATGAAGTACTTTGGCCACATAATGAGAAGACAGGAAAGCTTGGAGAAGACGATGCTGGGGAAAATGGAAGGAAAAAGGAAGAGGGACCGACCAAGGGCAAGGTGGATGTATGGTATCCTTGAAGTGACTGGCTTAACCTTGAAGGAACTGGGGGTGGCCACGGCTGACAGGGAGCTCTGGCATGGGCTGGTCCATGAGGTCATGAAGAGTCTGAAGCACTGAACAAATAAACAAACAACAACAATAACGACAACAACAATAATATATTAATAATAAATATTATTTTATTAATAAGTAATATAGAGATTTAAACTATAATCAAATTGTAGGGATGTTTTGGTGTTGTCTAAATATTTCAGTAATATGGATAGTGGAGAGGGAATGACTACTTGTTTGTGAAAAATTAGTAAGAAACGGGAACTTACAAGCAAAGGAACAAATACTAATGACCACGTGACTAGAACCAAAGACTGCAGTCTGAAAATACATGCTCCAGTTTAATTTTAAACATTTATGATTTGTATAAATAACTGTATAACAGTGTGAAAAGTGTAACCAGAAATAATTTGATCCCAGTTTGGTTTGGCAAGATCAGCACACAAATATTTGTAGAGGATCCTATTTTTAGAAAGTTTGTCTTCAAAGAGGCTGTGGTATTAAGAATTGTTCAGATATGTTCAAATGATATGGCCATGTTCTTCACATTCATTTCCTTTGTTCAGAAGCAAGGTATACTAAAAAGGTAGGCAGTAAACTAGAAATATGATTTGTATGTAGTTTTCCCACATGCATTTTTTTCCTGAGCTGGAGGCACAAATTTAAATCTTTCTGCATCTCCTTTCTTTCTTTGGAGCCCATGCATACATTTATCATAGACAATCTTGACAGCACCTTTTCTCCTTATATTTCTAGTCAGAAATAGGGCAGACATTGGCCTTACCCTTATCAGCATATGCAAACATTTCCTATGCAATTGAAGACGTAGTAAGAGCCCATGAAGTGTGTGGGGTGTTAATTAGTAAATCGTAGAGTATTAGAATCCAAATGAAAGAGTTTAAGTATGTTAGCATGAGAAATCTTAAATGGTGAGGTAGGAGGCAGAGATACAGCTTTAAGAAATATGATTTATCATGAATTGTTCATAAGATACTTCAGGCTTCTCATAAGGTATTCAAGAAATATCATTTATTGTAATAAATGTCAAAAAATGGCTGCATTTGAGTGGATAGACTGGAAAAGCTAAGAACTTGCCCCCAGCAATTATAAAATAGTAGTCACTGTTTCACAGAGATTTAAAGGTCCTGATGTCTTATTTTCGTAACTTTTATTTTCATTGAATAAAACCTTCTGCTTTCAACTTGAAGATGTGTCTAAATTCTGACTGCTTTCTGCAGAAACATAACTACAAAAGAGTCACACGAATGACATTTTGCTTGTGCACTTTCATATTGTCCTTTAGATATAATGTAGTTTCCCTAGTTGAAGCTGGTCTTACTGATATGTTTCTTGAGCATGTTTGTGATCTTTGTGATCTTTTGCGGAATACAAATTTGTTTGCTGCTGTGGCAAACCCAAATTCTTTTTTTTAAATCTGTGTCTGAAGCGACCTGAGAATATATTGTAAGTTGCTTCTGGTGTGAGAGAATTGGTCATCTGCAAAGACGCTGCCCAGGGGATGCCCAGATATGTTATCATCCTGTGGGAGGCTTCTCTCATGTCCTTGCATGGGAAGCTGGGACTAACAAATGGGAACTCACCCCATCTCGCAGATTCAGCTGGCACAAGGTTTTAACTCATTGCACCACTGTGGCTCCCACCCAAACCCTGATCAAACTATTTCACTATGATAATATGTACAAATTATAATTACACATTCCACACTGATGTGTCATAATTTGTACAAATTATAAGTGTATAAAATTAAACCTATTGTGCCCATAACTTAGTTAAAGCTGGTTTTGAAATAGATTTAATTTTTAGAAACTCCTGTTAATTCTCCAAACCAAGCAGGGCCATGTGGATATGCTTAATATGGAATAATCCCCCCACTCAACCAACCCAACCAAAAAAAGCACACCAGTATATGTTTGCCGACAAGAACAGTCAGTGTTTAAGCTCTATGGTTTTGGGCCCGGAAAGAAAGGAATCATTTTAAATCCCTTTGGGAAAGTGGCAATATGAAATCAATTCTGCAACATAAAGATCTTATACTACTTTACCAGGACCACATCCCAAGTGGATTTTCACTTTGAACAACTCTTACTAAATAAAACTGTGATAATTTCATCTGAGAGTTGCCCTAAATCAGAAGTGACTTGAAGGGACAAAACAACTTTTATTTGTATATAACGATAGTAAGGAACTTGTGTGCTTAATGTAACAAGATTGTATTGTACTAGCTGCTGAACTAGTTCATATGCTCACAAATTTAAATCCAACTTTGAGCTAAGAAATGTTCCTGATAGACCAGTGTTTCTCAACCTGGGGGTCAGGACCCCTGGGGGGTTCGCAAGGGGGGTTTCGGATGGGTCGCCAAAGACCATCAAAAAACACATATTTCTGATGGTCTTAGAAACCCCTTTGGCAGAGAAGGCTGAATATCTCCGCCTGTCTATCTCATCCTTTTTGGAAATAGAGGACAAATCTTCCCACCAAAAGCCCTCCTGCTGTGATTGGCCGGACTCTCAGCTAAGGGGAGGGCTGTTTCTGAGACTCCAAGCGGGGAGAGAAGAGGAGACGTGCTCAGTGCATGGCAGTTTGAATCATTTGGATTTGATTTTGCTGAATAATACTGTTTGGAACTAAAGTAAGCACAAATAATTCATATCCTATTAGATTTTGAATATCGTTAGTCCTCCACATTCGGGAGAGCTTTTGCACAATTAAAACTTGTGCGCCAGCTGTGCCATTCCTTGGGAAGTCTGATTTGGCCACAGTGGTCCACGCTCTGGTTACATCCCGATTAGACTACTGCAACACTCTCTACGTGGGTCTGCCTTTGAAAACTACTTGTAAGCTTCAATTAGTCCAACTGTCGGCAGCCACGTTGCTAACGGGAGTGGTGTACAGGGAGCACACCACTCCTTTGTTGCGCCAGCTTCACTGGCAGCCGATTGGCTTCCGGGCACAATTCAAAGTGCTGGTTTTAACCTTTAAAGCCCTAAACGGTTCTGCCCCAGTTTACCTGTCTGAATGTATCTCCTGCTATGAACCATCATGCAGCTTAAGATCGTCAGGAGAGGTCCTGCCCTCGATCCCGCCACTCTCGCAAACGTGGTTGGTGGGAACGAGAGACAGGCCATTCTCAGCAGTGGCCCCCCGTCTGTAGAACTTGCTCCCTAAGGACATCAGGCTGGCCACCTCCCTCCTGTCCTTCAGGAGACAACTGAAGACCTGGCTGTGGGACCAGGCGTTCGACTAGAGGCATCGACCAGAGGACAATGGCAGCTTGGAAAGGAAACTTGAACATTACGACATTACGACATTGGATTTGTTTGGCTGGATCTTGGTTTTAGTCGTGTGTTAGCTGAATGTTAAATTAATTTTTTGATGATTTTTATAATGTTTTAATCAAGCTTTACTGTTTTAATCGAAAGTATATGTTGACAGCATCACTGATGCTTATGTAAAGCTGCCCTGAGTCCCCTTGTGGGAGAAGGGCGGGGTAGAAATGAAGGAAATAAATAAATAAAATTCCAACAAAACACTATGGTCAGCTTCTTCTGGAAGCTGACCATAGAATTGCACTGAAGGGCCTTACGAGAGATTCCTCAAGAGTGCTATTTCTATAAATCTTAATGTTCTCCAACATGATTGGAGGAAGCTGATTATAAAGTCGCACTAGAGGACCTAGAGATTTTTAGGAGAATATTTTAAATATGTGAATAATCAAATCCACAAAAATCAAAACCACAAATGGGGAGGGACAGCTGTTAACATTTTCTGAGGAATTTCACTGGTAATGGCCACACATTTAGTATTTTTTTTAATCATACCGCCCCTTCTCTCTTTTTCCATACATACTGGCAATTGCTTCCAAGTCATTGCAAAGTAATTCATTCTGATTTTGTAAAAAAGAAAAAAAATCTACAATAAAAATAGAAGAATATTTTTAAAAGTAACTTTATACTAAAGCTCTCCATACTAACAGCAGACTTGCATGTTAACAGTGTCGTTAAAAGATATTATAGACTTATATTTATTCATTGTTTCAATCTGTTTTCCAGGTACTTCAACACCACTGATAATAATTTGCAGTACTGGGGCCTCGACTACCCACCTCTTACTGCTTATCACAGTCTTTTGTGTGCTTATGTGTAAGTCATATTCCACTTTTATAATCTTGTTTCCTAGAACAAAGAGAAAAATATAACTGAAGTAGAGGCTCTTTGCATGCACTAAAGATGTAATGCATACATGATTAGGTGTCTGTGATGGATATTGTTGGAAAATTTCAGAAATAGTTGTGTACCAGAAAAGTAGAATTATTAGTATTTACAAGCAGAAGGTGAACAAGAATCAGTTCCATACATCAAGTCTCTCTCAAAGATTAAGAGCCTACCTACATGGGCCACACACCTCCAAGTTTATCTGGAGTGGGGTACTCCAAACCAGCGCCTTCTCAGAACTGGAACAACTGTTTACATGGACCCAAATCTCTGCTTCACATTCTTGGGGAAAATTTAGAGTAGCCCTTGATTTTTTAAAATGCGGTTCAAGACCACATTTAGCGGCCTCAGCCAGCATGAACCTGAATCAGCTCATGCAGATACTATGAAGCTGATTCCACACACACTCCTTTCGGGATAAAAGGCCACATCTACACTGTCATACTAGGAATGATCACTTATGACAGTAAAGACAGCTTAATTGTTCTTACTTGGCTCCTCCTACCAGCTATCCACGATTGTTTAGTATTCTGTCTAAACTGGAAATCCTTACAGGTCATAAACCAAGAATAAACCCTGTCTGAATACTTTGTTTTCCTGTAGCCAGTAACTGTAATTGTAAAAAAATGTGTGTGTGTGTGTGTTTAAAATTATACTGTATATTGGCATGATGGAAAGTTTTGCTTAAAATCTCTTGTCTTCAGCTTCTTTCTTTATATTTAAAAAACCTTTAATAATTTATTACAATATGTGAAAGACGAATTATTTTCTGTTTTCTTTGTTGGTAGTCAGTCTTTAATCTTGAATGAAGTATAATTGTGAAGATGTTTGGTTCAATTTATGTCACCTGTATTGCTAATAATACACTATTAAATTATGAATCAACTCTGAGTGGTCTTACACTTTGTTTAACAGAGCGCAATTAATAGATCCAAGTTGGGTCGCTCTCCACACATCTCATGGGTATGAGAGCCAGCCACACAAGTTATTCATGCGTACAACAGGTAGGAATTATTTTCAGCAAAAGCTCAAAAAGTATTGATTGATAGGCTTGGACCTGAATCTGTTTGACTGAAAGTGATTTGTAATATTTGGTGGTCCATTTCATGTAATCCCCTGAAAACAGAATGGGGAGGAGGGAACCGAAAAGCTTGGCAAAACGATTGAGAGAGCAGGATTTATTGGCTATTGGAGAGGATGAAGTTAAGTCTGCATTATAACTGAGGTGGGGTCTACCATGGGGCTCTTGGAGAAGATCCTGCAGCATCTTTTCTCTCTCTCCCCCCCCCTCTCATGGTGGAAAAGTTCCCTAAGGTCCAGAGAGGGTCCTGCTTTCTCAGCAGCACTTGCATGGGACGGGTATTGAAAAGTCTCTGAGTTCCTCTCGAAGCATGATGGAGTTGAAGTTTCTCTCTCTCTCTGCTTCTCAGCCAATAAAAGGTCTAGTTGTGTCCATGCTCTGATTGACTGAGAATGGACACAAGCGGCGACTACAATTCCCAGAACCCTCTCTTGCGGTTTGTCTTATTTTTTTAAAAAATGTTATGGTAAAAACTTAAACTAATTCCAAAACATTCAGTAAATTGGTGAATTGTTCTGAAACTTGGCAGGCCTGCAGTTCTAAATGGGGTCTAAAACTGAGGTAGGTTTCATGCAGATAGGACTTAAAATGACTGAGAATTGAGCCTTTCAAAGTTTCCCATTGTAGCCGAATCCTTGCCGAATGAAAACGGCAACACTCCTCCAGATTCGAGTAATTTCCTGGTAAACAGAATGAAGGGTTAGCTGAAAATGGACCCCAAAACGGCATTCCTTTTGGCCAAATTACACACCTCTATTGATTGATCAATTGTATTTATATGCTGCATTTCTCCCAGCATGGGACACAATGTATCTCAGAAACAATAAGACGGAATCAGCCAAAAGCAATGCTGAGTCCGGGGGGTTCTCCTGGACTCGGCATTGAACCTGGAGGTCCAGGTGTCAGCAGTGGCTTTTGCACAATTAAAACTTGTGCACCCGTTCATTGGGAAGCCAGATCTGGCCATGGTGTTACATGCCTTAGTTATATCCCATCTGAATTACTGTAACACGCTCTATGTGGGGCTGCCTCTGAAGAGTTTTTGGAAACCTCCAAAATGCTGCAGCAGGTTGCTCACTGGGGCTGGATACACTGGCTGCCAGTCTGTTACTGGGAACAATTCAAAGTGCTGTCTATGACCTTTCAAGCCCTAGACTGTTCAGGTCCAGGCTATTTGACCAACCACATCCCCTTGTACGAACCTGCCTGAGCCCTGTGATCTTTAGGAGAGGCCCTTCTCTTAGTCCCACCTCCATCTCAAGCTCGGTTGGTGGGAACGAGAGTGGGTGGCTGTCCCTCGACTCTGGAACTCCCTGCCCAGGGAAGTCAGAACGGCCCCTCCCTGCTGTCCTTTTGGCGGCAGGCTAAAACTTTTTTATTCAAACAGGCATTTAAAGATGGTGTTCAAGATCTACTCAGGGGGTGCTGCGGTTTTTAACTTTTAATATGTTTTGATGAGCTTTATCATTTTCGGAAGTGTACTAATTGATAATTAGTAGATTGGCATTAGTGAAGGAGAAGGGGAAAAGAACACCAGTACTGCAAGAGTTATTAGCAGACATGCCAAACAACCCATTTATTAGTTTATGTTCAGTCATCCTCTGCTTCATAGGCCTGAGTGGAGACCCGAACGATGTGTCAACATCTTCCTTATTGCTGATTATCCTGGGGAGAATCAGCCACTCCTCCACACCACCTCTTACGTTGGCCACAAACATTTCCATCTGGTCTCCAGTAATTGATTACATTTTAAAAATCACTAGAACCAAATTACCCTTGAAATGGTCTTTAATAATGTTCAAATCAACACGCTTGACAAACCATTGATGTACAAACTAAGAAAATGGATAGACATTCTTTTAACAATAGCCATTAAACTAGTGCATCAAGGTTACAAAATCCAATACAGTTAAATGTTGACCATTAGTTTTATACATTTCAGAAAATTCTCTCTCTGTGGATTGCACACACAGATGATAAACTCTGCCAGAGAATTTTTTTAAAAGGAGACTTACGGCTGATTCAGGCACCATGGTTTGACATTACATAAATGGGCCTTGAAGCATGGAAATGAGCATTGGATTGCCCTCTCCTTCATCTGCTCCTTTTCCACAATTCCTTTACATACTATACTTCATCCTTTTGTCCAGTCTGGGGAAACTATAATTTGCCTAGACTATCATTTGCCCACAGATCAGCATAGATTGCCGTTTTGTTTAAGTAACATTTTATCTTGGTCCTTCCAAAATGAATCACGCCAAAGAGATTCCAGCAGCCTAGTTTTGCTCAGAAGTGTTTGAATTGCATTTGTCATTCCCTTTCAGTGTTGGTACCAATCCTGTTGAGAACTTAGGGAAAGGGAAAATTGGAGCAACAGAATGAGATGTGGCATCCTTTTCATGCCTACAGCATTTTATAGTATAGGTTTCATCGCCAATGGAGGATCTGGTGACTTTAATAAATAGCAATGTCTGTGTTCTCTTGAGACAACAAGATCTCTTAGAAGTATGTTTTCATCAAGGCATGAGTATATGAGTAGTCTAACATTTGCATGTAAATTGAAGACTATGCCTGAGACAATGACACGTAGAAGTCATGTGTATTTTGTATTTTAAATCAGTCAAATGTGTGTTAAAACTGAAAACAGTAAAGAGACAATACAGTGAACAACAAGTTGACAGGTGACAAAATAGGAAGCAAGATAAACAAAAGAATATACTGATTAAAAACTGTCCACTTGAATTTTATAAATAATTTGTTTTGCAGTTCTTGTTGCAGATTTGCTGATTTATATACCAGCAGTAGTCTTATACTGCTATTATTTAAAAGACACATCAAACAACAAAAAGGTTGGTAGCTTTTTTCTCCAATTGTGAGTAAAATTATTTCATCCAGGGTGAATATCAGAAGTGTACTAATATAAAACTATAGCATCAAAAATACTCCCTGTTGATTTAAAATAGATAACAATAAGCATTTATTAGTGTTTAAGCACAATAAATTAACAGCAATTATTAATAGAACCAATAATACAAGATATAATTGAGCTTTTGGGGCAAATTATATATATTATCTAATACAATTCCAAATATGTTTACTCAGAAGTAAATTCAATGCTATTTAGATTTAGTATAATTTACTGCCTTGTATGTTTGCATAGTATTGCAACATTTTAACGTTTATATATCATACATATTTGTACTCCTAAATTTTACCATCGGTAATAATTTTAATTTAATTGGAGTTTGACAAGTAACACAAGTGATGTGCTGAGCTTTAGCGTTGTCTTAGTTTCGTCTTTTCAAATGGCAAAGTGTATAGTATGCTACCAGTTACTGTAGGTACTCTTCCTAGGGCACAAAGCTATTAAAATTAATTGTTTGCAAATGTTTCATTGTCTTTTTTCTTTCTTTCCCAGATTTCTAGTGCTCTCTGCATATTGCTTTATCCAGGCCTCATTTTGATTGATTATGGACATTTTCAGTATCCTTGAATATTATGTGAAACCAGGCCATTATATTTTTTTCCTAAATCCAGGGTTAGGGAATGGCAATGATAAACAATTATTTTCAGGCATTTTCAGGTTTATATTTTCTAGGGTGTTTTGGAAGAGAATTGATGTAGACTTGGGATTGCAAAGAAGAGGTTGGGATTCACACATCCTTGGTCTAACCCACAGGTTGTTTCTCAACCTATGGGTCCCAAGATGTTTTGGCCTACAACTCCCAGAAATCCTAGCCACTTTACTAGCTGTTAGGATTTCTGGGAGTTGAAAGCCAAAACATCTGGGAACCCACAGGTAGAGAACCACTAGTTTAACCCAACATGATAGAGCACTTTGAATGGAAGTACTTATCTCAAGGTAGGTAATATGTGACTCACCTAATGCTTTTGGTCTGAAACTCCCACTATACTTCATCATTCACTCTGTTGGCTAGGGCTCCCAGTGAGGTTCATTTTCAGTTAAGTGGTACAGAATGTAGCCTTAGGTTAAGCACAAGATGGCAATCTTTTGTATACGCTGACATGGGATTAAGCAGATTAACATTTTTTCAAATATTTTCATGGCATGGTTAGATAAATTCATGAATACTGAGTCTGCAGTACAGAGGGCCAACTGCATAATTTTGATCTTATATTGTTTATTGCATGGAATGTGTTGTTAAACATTTGTTCAAACAGATAAGCAGATGGTATAAATATGTATCCAAATTTTTATTAACATACACATTTGTCTCTAGATGATAAATGCCCAAGTTGTGTGAAAGAGTCATCAAAGGAGTGATGTGTGGTTTCCGGGCTATATTGCCATATTGTAGCAGCATTTTCTCCTGACGTTTCGAAGATCCTCTGAAGATGCCAGCCACAGATATAGGCAAACCATCAGGAGAAAATGCTGCTAGAACACAGCCACACAATACTCCAGTGAGTCCGGCCATGAAAGCCTTCAACAATACAGAGCTTTAGCACAAGATAACTAAGTTTTATCTCTTAAGATTGCCACAAAATACAGGTCCATGGAGGCAATTTTTAGGATCTTGTATGCATTTTGTGTATATTATAGTAATTTATGGAACATTAGTTAAGCTACATGTCATCATGATAGTTACAGCTATATGAGTAAACAGTTTTCTTTAAATGTTTCCAAGCAATGCAGAATCTACTTTATTGACATTGCTTTCCTTGGTGCTGCAATATTGTCATGCAAGGATGGACAGTGCAACTGCTTCAGGCTCCATAATGTAGCCAAAATTAAGTATTTTGATATTATCTTGTTTTATTGTGAAAATTATTTGTTGTTGGGCGCCTTTCCATAATTTCCAACTTATCGTGACTCTAAAAGGAATCTGTCATGGGATTTTCTCTGGCCGAGAGTGTACGACTTGCTCAAGGTCAGCCAGTGGGTTTCATCGTCCGAATTGATAATCAAACCCTGGCCTCCAGAGCTGTAGTTCAGTGCTAAAATTGCAATACCCCAATATTGCTGAATTTAGTAACATCAAAAGACCACCTGAAGTATTATCTTGATGCCATTTATTTTTAACAACCACACTTTTGTCCTTAACATTAAAATCATGTATAATTCTGTGAGCCTTGGTTTTGCTTTGTGGGGAGTACTTTTCCTCTCCTACGATTTGGATGTTTGGGGTGCAATAGCATTTTGCCTTGCTCTTAACTACAAACAAATGGAGCTCTACCACTCCCTGCCTTTCTTCTGCTATCTCTTGGGAAAGTGCTTCAAAAAAGGCCTGATGGGGAAAGGGTGAGTGTCTTTAAAATTTGACATCCAGAAAATGGCCCTGGAATGCATTTAGGCAGCTTTGCCTTGGGAATTTGTGCATGTCTTCCATTTCTCGATTAAGCTTTTGGAGAAGGGATTCATGTCATTATAATTCTTTACTCCTCCCTCCCCCGGTAGAGCGTGTTTCTCCTAAGTCATTAAATAACATACTAAATAGTTTAAAGAGTGTCTGTAGTGTATCAAAATACACACAACTATCTTTTCTCTTCAACACCTGTCATTACTTAAGCACAGGTCACAAATGGGCACCCAGATTTAGAAGATAAGAGTTTAGCATAGCTTTTCTAAAAAAACATTTAACAGTTTTATCCTGGAGATCCTGTTGGTGGATTTCCTATTTTAGATTATCTACTTCCTATTTGTTTTCAAGTCATCCCCAATTATGAAGGGCAGATATATATATTATATTCTTCTACTCTTTCTCGTGTTTCTCCTTTGGAGCTTGGATAAATGTATTCTTTTTCTTTCAGATTATTGTCGTTAATGAAGCTGGGGTTTACCGTAGTTATTTCCTTTGCTTTCTGTTGGCTCCCATTTTGCACGGACATCAGGCAAATTTTGCAAGTGCTCAGGAGGCTCTTTCCAGTTGATCGAGGTTTGTTTGAGGTATGCCTCATGCCCCCCTCTCCCTTTACAAGCTTCTTGTAAATGTTTTATATTTTTAGCTCCCTTGAGAAACCTTCACTTTGACCCTTAGGGATTTAATGTGGAAGATACACCAGAAGGCTAGTAATATGATCTGGCTTCTCCTACCGTCGTTTCTTGCCAGTTATTTAATCCAGCATTTAACCCCTAGCTCAGCTGGCATCTTCCAGGATAATACACAAATAGGCAACATTTATCCCATCGTCAGATCTATAGTTCAGTTGTACATATTTCCATTCCAGCAGATTCCACCGTAATTAACAATGCCCTTGCACCATATTAGCTATAGGATCTTTAAAAATGAATTAATTCCATCCCTGGCTTCCTGTTTTACTTTCCCAAGTAGCCATTAGATTTCTGTTCAAATGCTTCATGTTTTAAAATGCATTAAAAGTCCTGATGTGCTGTAAGGAAAAGTTGCAACTTACACTGCTGAGCAAAGCCTAAAGGTGTTGAGCATAAAGTCGATGGTTTTATTGCAGAGATGACATCTATTAACTGGTTTGCAACAGAGAGAGAGTGAGGGGGTGAGAAATAGTATTACAACTGTACAGCAGACCAGCTTTTGAAAACCATTAACATCCACAGCAGAGATACTGGTACACTGGAGAAAAAATTAGGAACTTATTCCCCAGTTGTACATTAAGATGTTACACAAAGTGTGAAGTATATAGAAAATCATCAGCCAAAGAACTGTCAACCAATTTGGTTTGTTTACATGTCCATTTTAATGGGGTTATTAAGACACACTGGTGGGTTTTAACAGAGGTAAGTCTTGTGTTTTACAAGAAAGAATCCTCACAGAATTTATCCACGGTAGCTCAGGAATTGGGGTCTAATGTTAGCTGAAATATTTTTGGAGCTGGCAGAGGAATTACTGATTTGGATATTTATCTGGATAAGCAGAGAAACTGTCTACGTAAGCAATGCATAGTAAGTTTATACTGGGGTCCCTGTGTCAGGTTCTTTGAATTGGTTCCCATTTACAGAGATGCCTACAAATGTTGGTAGTTGTAAAGCGTTGCTGGCTATTAAGCAGGCATCTTATACGTTTGTGAGTGTTGCCAAGCACTTGTCACCTTCAGCAATTTTGCAGTGTGTGTTCTGTATACTTGTAAGCGTACAAGGAGGCTTGGCTCAGTTGTTGGTAGTAGCTTTCTTGCTGTTATGTCTACACAGCTGTGATCCAAGCAGCTGTTTAGGGATGAGTTTCATGAGCATGCTAGCTGTGTGGTTACAAATTTAATTTGGAAAGTGATCCTAGCACAACTGCTAATGTCTTTAGACTTCTTGATTTATTATAGGTTAACTCTGTCATTGCTAGCAACTAGCACGCTGAGCTATATATGTTCTTGTTACAGAATGTGGCAAAATTTAATGGGTTTATTTAATGATAAATGCCTGATTACAGGTTATTTTATTATATTCACAACCTATGTGTTCTCCTATTCAAGACTGTAGTTATCAATGTTTATTTTGGTCAGGTGTTTTTAGCCAAGATTTGGAACATTCTGAAACATTTGGATTTAATTGCAGCGTCAGATGTTCAGATATGTCGAAGGGCTTTTGCTAGTCAACATGTAAATAATGCCCACTAACAAAAACATTAATGCAACATGTTAAATATATTTTCAGGATAAAGTAGCCAATATTTGGTGTACCATAAGTGTCTTTTTCAAAATAAAGACAATTCTATCAGCAGAAACCCAATTTAAATTAAGGTAAGTAAGAACAGAAGTCTGAGCTAATATCAGTGTTAATGAAACTTTTGGGACAATTGTAAAAGGCTGTTTCACAGTGTAGTAACGTTACATTCAACCACTCGTGTACAAAGACGGATAATTTAAACAGTTTGTTGTTTCATTCTGTTTTTAAGAATAATTTATGAATGTACAAATTAGTAAATTGGACATAGGCATCATATTGTTTATTTCTCTGCAGAAAGTATAAAAGCTGATCCATACTAAAGTTATACGAGCTACCAGTAGTAATTGAGGTCTGATCCATGAACCCAGTATTATTAAAATCAACTGAATCTACTGTTATTGAAATCAACATTTTAATATCATACAATTGCTATTTTGCTTTCAGCTTGGTTTTAACATTCCTGGCCATACTTCCAAGCTGCATAAAATTAACTCTGCAGCCTTCTCATGGGGGATTTAAATACAGTCTGGTAAGTGTATGACAAAGCTCCTATATTTAAATGTAACCTTTGTAGTTTTATAATACAAAGGACATTTCTATCTTTCTCCTTTGCCACCCTTACTTTGCCTAAACAAAGGAAGTCTTGAAATTTTTTAAAAGGCAGATAAAAAGAATGGCAGTTCTAAGCATTAAGAATTATAGCAGGTTCAGTAATGTGAACTGTATGACAAGGACAACTTCTTGTCTGCTATCCCTAACCTTTACCTTTGTAGGTTAGTCTACGAAGTTTGTGAGAGACAATGTAGTGTGGTGGTCTGAGCACTGGATTGTGGAGACCAGAGCGCAAATCCCCACTCAGATATGTAAACTCATTGGCTGACCTTGGGCAAGTCACATTCTCTCAGCTTCAGAGGAAGGCAAAAGCAACCCCCTTTCAAACAAATATTGTAAGAAAAGCATGCAATAGGATCGCCTTAGAGTTGCCATAATCTGGAAACTTGAAGGCTCAACAATAAATGCACATTTCTCAAGCCAGTACTCGTGGTAGCATTCAGGATTGGTAGAACAATCCATAGTCCACGAGCTCTTAAACAAAATGACCCAAAAGCTCACTAATGTCTTATTGGTCACTGATGCTGTTTCAGGATGGACCAGCTTGACTGACCCTTATTCTTGCTTGCACACTAAAATGTGTGGAATTAGTTGCAATTGTGTTGAGCCCTCAAATTGTGAAGCTACAGTCCTTCAGTTATAATGCCCTTCCAAAAGAGCTTCGTCAGGCCCCTACTCTAGCAGTTTTCAGAAGGAACCTAAAAACTTGGCTGTTCCGATGTGCCTTCGCAGATTAGGAATCCCCCATCCCAAGTCCTTGAAGCACTTTAGCACAACCAATGTTGCTGCACACCGCACTTTTAATCCTACGTTCCTCCTGCCATCTCAGCACTTTTACCCTGTACCCCATTGCGCCGGCCGAACCAGTTTTAATAGTGTCTTGATGTATTGATGTATCGTCATTGTTGTTATTTTGCTTAATTGTTGATTTGCTTTGTTTATTGTTGTGTTATGTTTTCTATTGTATTGTGTTTTGAGGCTTCGGCCTGTGTAAGCCGCATCGAGTCCTTCGGGAGATGCTAGCGGGGTACAAATAAAGTTAATAATAATAATAATAATGTCCACAGAGATTTAATTTTCAGTCACTTGGGGAAGAAGGTAAGATTAAGCTGATTCTGCTTACCACATGTACCAGTTGAGGATGGCATTTAGTTAACATAAGAGTTAGATAGTACTATATAGGCCATCTATTCCAACCACCTATTCAATAGAGGAAACAGAACTAAAATATTCTTAACAGGTGGCTGTTCAGTCACTACTTGAAGACCTCCATTAAGGGAGAGTGGCCCATTCTTCCTAGATAATTGCTTCTGTTGCTCTTTCTGTCAGTATGTTTCTCTTAATGTGCAACTGAACTCAATCTACCTACCACAAAGCACCTTTGATGATGTCTAAGTTCCTGAAAACTGGACAGGGATTTTGGCATCTTTGAATATGTCAATTTCTTAGAAAGTGGGCAGGGTCTTTGGGAAGGTGAGATATAGTAGGAATCATTTACGTCAAATAATTCCTGGTATTTTTGGCCAAAGATCTGGAATGTACTATTACTTTAAGAGCAACATAATTTTATTTAGTTTCTCTCTTTCCCCTTTTACAGGCCTGGGATGGCCACTGTAGTTGAACAGCACAAACATACCGCCACAATGGGAAATATGAGCAGTTCTTTTTGTATCACATATTAATACTGGTTAATTTTCTTTTTAAAAGGTTTGCTGTGCATTATCCTTCTTTCTGTTTTCATTCCAAGTGCACGAAAAGTCTATTCTTCTGGTTTCAATGTAAGTGATATTCCGTACTTGGATGGCATTTGCACCATTATCTAGAAGCAGGTCATGAGAGTTGATCCAAAATTATGTTTTAATGCCTGTGTGAGGGCATATTTTGGACTAGTATATTCTTAAATCTTGGAGTAGTCTCACTTTCTATCAAGAATGTGAAAGCAGCTTAGGAAATAGCAAAATACTACATTTTCTTAGTTCCACAAAATCTGGGACATATAAAGTAAGGTTTGTTCAAGAGTGACTAGGTTCCTGTATCATAATGCTAGGATTTACTTAATACATAGTCTATTTTTGACTCAATGGGTGATTGCAGATTGGCATTATGTAAGGTTTATGTCAAGACCCCAAATAAATAATTTGGACTCTGCATTTGAGGGAGTCTGCAAAATCTGCTCACATGAAATACAATGAATACGTGTCTTAGATTATTACTGAGAGTATGTTGCAATATGGCAAAAATGGTGTTCCCTTACCCCAAGTTTCCCTCACCTAAGATTTTTTTCCCCACTCCTGCAAATCGACATTTCTCTAGGTATCCCAACACCTCCCTCTTGTGAAGGTATTCTCTTGTGTTAACACCTTACTTATCAATAGCTCCTTACCCACTGTAGTGAGAGTGATAAAACAATATATATAATTCTTATATTCTTTATATTTTCCCCCATAGACCAGTCTGCTTACTTATAAATGAAATCCCCTTTATGTCTGCATGGTTTTTGCTCGTTTCAACATTTAGGTAAGTTACATCGTTACTATCTCTAAATCATTCTTCCCAATTTGAGTTTGCTGAGCAATTTTTGAGATCTGTTCTTATCACTAGTTGTTGGGTATGCAACCTTGAAATAAAGTACATTAATTCATGTCTCTTTTTCAACAGCATGCTACCACTTCTCCTGAAGGATGGCCTGCTTTTGTCTTATATTGTGACAACACTGGCTTTTCTCATGGTGTGTGGAGCTTCTTTTTCAATACTTGAAAAGACCTCTGAAGCTGATCTAAAGCTGAAAATGTTTTCCGCTTCTATTAGAAATTACATTCCTTGGTTTAAAATATTCCCAAAGACTATGAAATATTTGGTGAGTAACTCTTAGAATAATATTGTCCTATTTATGCCTTAGTGCTACTTTGGCGAAGGGATAAATGTATACTTTGCTTTTTTCTTGATGTAATATTAAGCATAATCTGAATTTGTTGAGGTCTTGCTGCCTCCCATGCCATATCTATACTCTTGCCTCATTGGAAAAGGTAAGTACCAAAAGGATGAACTGAATTATATTCACCAATTCCAATCCAAAAGCAGAGGTGTGAATAAAGACAATGGCTTCTTAGCAATCTATATATATTAATATAAGAGCTACTGCACATACAGGTTGAGTCTCCCTTATCCAAAATATTAAATCCTCCCCAAATCTATTTTTTTCTGCCATTTGTCCACTTATGCCTTTGGGGAAAGGGAGCTATTCACATGCCTAGCACGGGCTGAGTTTATCCTTTAAGAGCCCGGATGAGTGAAAAGAAGAGGGGGAGGCAGCGGAGTAATTTGCCAGCATGAGGCACCTGTAAAAAAGGCACCCCATATGTTTCTGCATTCCCCTTTCTGCCTGAATGGTGGGCTGTGGTGGGGAGGATGTCCTGGAAATGTCCATGGGTGCGGAGCAACTCGATTTGCTACCGCCTGTATCTAGCACAGAGAGGATGAAAGACTGATGAGAGGAAGATTTCCCCTCCTTTCCTGTTAACTTTGCTAAAAGAGCAGAAAGCATACGCATATCTTCTCTTTCACCTGTTGGGATTCCCTCAGTGGTGATGTAAGGACTCCGGGGGGGGGGGGCTGGATATATGACCAACACCATTTCCCCCATCCCTTGTTCACTATGTATAAGGAAATACAGTTATTCCAAAAAAAGTCCAAAATACGAAAAAAGTTCTGGCATTTTGGATAAAAGAAACTCAACCTGTGTAACAAATTGCATCTCATCAGTTTTTAATCAATTAAAAGCAACTTTTGGTGAGCTACTTCATTACTTTCACATATCAATTATGTCAGCACTGACTGACTGCTGTAAAGATCTGAATCCATGAAAGCTCATTCTAAAATAAAAGAAAATAGTCTTAAAGCTGCAATCACATTTCCCTTTTTCCTCTGCTTTCCTTCCTTTTGTCTTGCAAGAGACTAACACTGCCCACCTCACTGAAATTTTTAAAAAGTAAGTTTGTTTTCTTCTTTATTAAAAAAAAAAAAGAGAAATGTACCTACGAGCCAGACATTATATAGATTATATAGAAAGTTGAAAGGCAGATCAAAATTGAAGAAGCTGTATCAGTGGCAAGGCAAGACAGAAGAAACACAGGAAAGAGAGTTCCTTATTTCTGGAATTGGTGTGAAGAGATATAGCCCAAATTATCGTGCATTGTTCCTCTATACCATACAGAGAATTGCTGGAAAAGCAGTTCTTCTAGGCAGCATCTAACACTTCAGAATTGTAACCATTCAAGTTGAAAGAGTCAATTTTCAAGGTACTTCAGTATTGACTGTGAGGTATATCATGAGCTTTGCCAATAATAGACGTTGTTTTCCTTTTTGAAATTCTTCAGCTACTTAGTATGACTGCGTTTACATCAACTTTGGCAACCGATGCATAAGATGTCAAGCTTAGAGACACTTCTATTTACTGAAATATCTTCCATCATGAAAATGGGGGACTTAACAATGAAGCTACTCATTGGGCGTTGTAAATCAGTAGTAACCAATGTACCTTTCTCTCCCCCTTCTTTCAGTTTCTGGTTTCAATAACTGTGATGTGCATCCTGACTTTAATGAGTGCCACACTGGATCCTCCACAGAAGCTGCCAGATTTATTTCCTCTAACTGTCTCCGTTGTATCCTGCTTGCACTTTCTATTCTTCTTGCTATATTTTAATGTCATTGCAATATGGGAATCAAAAAGTAGCCCAAATCTGAAAAAAACCAATTAGTTTGAACCAACCTGCAAAACTGATGGCTAATATTTTAAATATTGGAACTCTTCAGTTGCTTCCTTGTTTTATGTATTTTCTGTGGAAATCCAGACTCAAAATGTTTACAATTAATTTTGTGCTGTTTCAAGAATGCAAATAGCCATACCTCTAAATGGTTAGAAATGAGCTCTCTGCAGTATGTATGCAATAAAAAAAGTAATACGTGATTTGTTCAAAAGAAAAAGCTACTCATATTTTTATATGAAAATAATAAAGGAACGACTTCTCAACCTCTTCTGGTTTTAAGCAAAATCTCCACATTTAATTTAAAGATAGGCGTATCAGTATAGGTGCTTTTTTTTAAAAAAAGAACAGCACTGAATACAAAACTATATGTTAGAGCAATCACTCATGTCTGTTGCCACTAAACGCTGTTTCTTACAGCCTATTTGATTACATGCATTAAGTTGCCTTGTTCAATATTTCATTATCCTTCATGTGATATGCTTAAAATCATCAAGGTCACTGCACTAATATTCATGATTCAGTGTCATGGTTCATGCTTACATGACAGTCTTATTTCAGCATTAACCTCTATACTAGCCGAAGTCCATAACTAGAGTTCCAAGCTGCTGTCATCGCTAACATTTTTTATATGTATCAACACATAAGCTTTACTGTCATGGAGATCTACAAATTTTACAGCCACAGTAACATTCTCTGCCTTTATATATACTTATATTAACCTAGCACTTATATCAAAAATGTTTCCAGAACAGCAGATTACTAAGATCCTGAAGTCAAGTTGTTTACCACTCTTAGGTAATCCTTCGGAAATTTCATACAATGAAAATATACCTTCTAAGTATACAAAGCAACTGTTCCATCTGGAATTCTTTGGCATCTTACAGCTTTCTCTATAGCGGTATGTCCCACAGGGTTGCCTTTAAAATGCATACACAATGTTAAAAAAAAAAGCCAAAGCAAATCCTGACAGCTGCTTGTGGATTACTTGAAATGATCTCTTTATAAGGCACATGAATAAGTAGCTAATTGTTTCTACCCAAAGGTTCATGTTCAGTACAACTTCTCTTTCATTATATGGTCATTTTAACATTCAGTTATCTTTTATGAATTGGGTCATGACTGATTGGTTGCCATGTTGCAGCACAGTATTTTAAGCATCAAGGCAATCAACATTTTATTCAGTACAGGCAGGCCAACGCCACACAGTGTATTACTTTCTGCTGGTCTGAAAATATATGTATTGATAAAAGACAAATGTATAAAAAATACAGTCATAAAAGCAGCGTAAATGTAAATTTGTTTCCACACACAATGCAGATTAATCTCAGCGTAATTTGTTGTGAAGTGCTGAGGATTTGGTATCCCAAGCTTGGAAAATCCAACATCCTGGATGCAGGATGTCATAAATTACTATACACATTAATGTATTTCTTTCCCTCTACTTTGCCCCCAATCCTTTATTAAAACAGTGAAGTACAGATGTAAATCAAAATCATGTAAATCACAGGGACTGGATATTTAGAAGTTTGGCTTGAGGTAAATATCCAGTCCCTGTTGTAACACAGTACATAATTTCTTGAATTAAATTGCAGAAAATTCTAAACCAGAGTTATCCAAACTAAGGCCTGTGGGCCACATCCAACCACTTAAGGTCTTTTTCCCGGCTCTTGCACACTGTGCACACTGCACGGCCAGTGCACACATGCATGTGGCAGTGGCAGTGAGGGTAAGTGAAGGATAGCAGGCATGGCAGTGGCAAGGGAATGTGTACTCCAGCGTGTGTGTGGCATGGCTGCTGCACATACAACTGATGCATGCACAACACGCGCAGCCACGCATACAATGAAAGTCTGGCCCCGAAACAGTTTGAGGGTCCGTGAACCAGCCCTGCACATAGAGTTGGGGATTCCCTGTTCTACACAAATTTAAATAAGAATTATATATTTAGGAATTTTTCAATATGCATCTATTCAAACGTATATGCCATGTACAGTGCTATTTTCTTTGAATATATGTTTTCAGCCTGCAAACTTTAGCCTTGCCTATCAGTCCAGCAAAGGTGAAGTGTGCCAAAGGATTATGAACTCTTGTATATAAAAGGTTGCTGCCTATTTCGTTCCGAATACTAGATGTCTATATCTAGCACACAGTTCCCAATATTTGATCTGAGACTATGCACACTATGCCAAGCAGATGGTTGGCACCATCAGCTTTCCCTTGTGCTATCACCTCTTTATTGGGTGTGGCCTGAATCCAGCCAAACTATGCTCAGCATTGACCATCTGTTCAATGGCTAGTTGTTGCTCAGATTTGTGTGAAAGGGTGCATACAGTTGTCTCTAGATTGAAGCCCCAGCGTTCCTACAGAATAAAGATTTATTATTTATGGGAAGAGGTATTATGTGTTAGATGCATCATGTTATAACATATAAAAAAGAGAATTTGTTCCTAAGCTGTGAGTTAGATCTTGAGGTGTCCTGCAAGTGTGAGTAGGCAGGGAGTGGCAACACCCTAACTCATTTTTGTTTTGGCAAAAGTTTAACAGCTTTTCTGTAAAAAGATTCATTTCAGTGAAAACAGTCAAAGTCACAAACATCTTCATTCAACTCGCATGTACTTCAATAATTAACATATTGTGGTTGGCATCCAGTTAATGGCAAATTAAGTGTAAATTAATCCATATGCTTCTGTATGTCTCTATTGTGGTGGTTGGCATTTTACGTTTTCCTATGCAAATGACCAAAGGAGAACTGTCCCCCTTGCCAGATGCACAATGATTACAGTCAGTCCTACATATTGACAACAGAGTAATGCTTCGAGAGCCTAAACATTCCTAGTGAGACTACTTCTCAGGATATTAGTAGGTCCTCCAGCACAATTCTATGGTCCACTTCTGGAAAACTTTGACTATAGAGTCACAGTGAGGGGCCTAGAGAAATGTTCTCTCAGGTAAACGCAATAATGGCTTATTTGCATTTTCCTGGAAATGTCCTGCAACCCTAACTCTAGCAAATATACACCATCTGCTGAGACCTCAGGAGGATCCTATCAAATCTCATCAAATGAGTGGCTTTAAGCACAGACATAGTCAAACTTCAACTTTATACATGTTTTGTTCATAAGCATGCAGCTACATTTTATTTCTTTTGCCAGATCCCTTACCAGTTACCACACTTATTTACCGTGCCATTTGTCATACTACTCCCCAAAATAATAAAACATCAAGTGAGTTATAGGATGCTCCAGCACAAAAGATATCAGTAAATTTCCATTTGAAAGTCACTTTCTGCATCCAAACTTCTGTTTTATTGATTCAAGACTTAAAAGGGTGTATGTGAGTGTAACAATGATGTCAAGACTTTAAGTGACTACTTGAAAGGCTACATCTGAAAGCTCTCACATTTATCTTATTAAGCAACAGAAAGCCTAACTCTGTTCTGCTGCTGTGCTTGGAACTCTTCCTTGTGAGGGTTTGTCACAAGAGATCGAGAAAAAAGCAGCAATTTTAATCTGCTTGAGACCTCACTTTGCTTCCTGTCACCCAAGGCTTTAGCCACTGATGGAAAGAGCTACCAAATTCTGTCATATTTTCAAGAACAATTTTAGTCTGTGGAATATCCAATCACCAAGCTCCTGGTGGCGCAATGGGTTAAACCCTTGTGCCGGGAGGACTGAAGACCAACAGGTAGCAGGTTCGAATCCGGGGAGAGCGTGGATAAGCTCCCTCTGTCAGCTCCGGCTTCCCATGCGGGGACATGAGAGAAGCCTCCCACAAGGATTATAAAACAGCAAAACATCCGGGCGTTCCCTGGGCAACGTCCTTGCAGACGGCCAATTCTCTCACACCAGAAGCAACTTGCAGTTTCTCAAGTCATTCTTGACATGGAAAAAAAAAATCCAATCACTGCAAAAACAGTCTTCATAGTGCATAATTTTAGATTGTGGAATGCACATTCACTGCAGAGAACTCCAATAAAATCTTCTAGGAAACCAAGACACTGCAATAATCTTCCAAGGGAAAGAATGAGCAAGGCAGGGCAACCGTCTCACGTTTCCATTAGCCCTTTCCCCCAATGTAGTAATTGGAAGACTATAGCAAGTGTTCTGTGGCATACAAAAACATTAGTTTTATGGGTATCTCTCTACTTTGTCCTTCAGATGGCCTTCAAGGGTGCTAAAGTGAGAGTTATCCGATCCACCTTATCTTGAACTAGGAAATGGTTCTTAACAGACCCAGCTGTTTTCAAAAAGGGGAAAAGCTTAGTACAAGTGGCCCTGAAGCAGTAACTGCTTTAATAGCCTTGGACTGCCTGCAGCAGTATGTGTTTCATGGAGACCAGTGAGACTTACTTATGCCCAGACATGTTTAGAATTAAATTATACAAACAAATGAAAAAGAAAAGCTGTCATCACTCACAGTGGCATATAAAACTCTTTGGAAATGCACCAGTGAAAATGATCAGTACCCAACTCCAAATACCTCATGTTCCACCCTTTTTTCCTTTGAAGAACATGCCCCTGGAGATACTTACTTGGAGGTATCTAGCACTGATTCCTTTGAATTATAACCTTAAACCTCCATCTTTGACACTGAAATGCCAAAGTGAAAAATGAGCCTGTCCAGTAATCTGGTAATGTGAAATTATCCTTCTACAGTTTTGTTACATTAAAAACAACAGTTGTGGCCTTACGGAAGCAATAACTTATTTTAAAACCAGCTGATGATTTTCCCACAGAATCAAAAGATTACTGTCTGGCTGGGCGGGGGCGGGGAGACACTGACATTGCCAAAAGAAAATATGGAATTTAACGTCACTTAAACTGTCATGGTTCAATGCTACGGAATCCTGGGAATTGTAGTTTGGTGAGGCACCAGCCCTCTTCGGCAAAGGTTAAAGACTGTAAAACCACAACTCTCATGATTCCATAGCATTGAGCAATGGTAGTCACATTGGTGTCATACTGCATCAATTCTACCGTCCAGATGCATCTGGAGTCTCCGGTTTTCTCCCCTGCCCCATGCTCTCATTGCTATTTTTACACTGTTTCAATGAATTTCCACAGAAGTGACTTTGAGGAGAGATTAAATAGTTGATGAGCAAAAAGAATGGGGAAATTTGCTTCCAAGGGTGGTTTAACTTTACTCACATTTTTCAATTAAACTTTATGATAAGGAAGGGCTTATATATATAAAAAAATTAAGCAGTACTCAATAATGGCTTGTGCATTTCGGCTGAACCTCAATCAGTTTCTGCTGGCTGGATTCAGGTAGATACCTATATCAGTTTTTATAGCTGGATAGCTGTTTTCGTTCTGGGGCCGAAAAATAGGGCTAGATTCGGCCCATTGGCAGAAATGGGGAACTTACAACCCTAACTCTTTCCGTTCCTGGGACCCTTTCCTTTTTTCTCTTCAAGGTTTCAGAAATGAGGTTAAGGAAGCACCCTATCCTGCCCATTATGGGGGGAGGGGGACTTCCCAGGCTCCTCTTCCCGTCTTTTTAGGCATTGTTTGTCCTTATACCCTTCATTAAGACCTGGATTAAAAACATCAGAGTTAAGATACCACTCTTTCTGTGATCCTTTCCCCTCTGTCTGTAGAGGAGACCGTGTTTAACACTTCATTAAAGCTGTTTCTTTCTTGTCTAGAGGAGACAGGCCGTAGGCATGCATTCTCCCTGCATGCAACTTTCCAAGACATTTAAGGAAGTTTCCCACTTCCCAGGGAAGAAAGAGCCATTGACCTGGAGCTATCTCTCTGGACTTCCTTTAAAAAACACTCTCTTCTCTCTTGACTTGCACTGCAAGCCCTGGCTGGAAGGGTGCCCCCTCCCCATGCCTTTCTGCTTCAGGTTTAATGATTCTATTCTATAGGAGAGGTAACTAGGTGGTAGTTGTTTTCTGAGAATTAGGCTTTTCTTTTTGTTCGTTGCGATAATAATAATAATCTTTGAGAAGTTTTTTTTGAAGGAGAGGAGGAGAAAAATAAGCTAAAAGAGACTTTCCAAGGCCCCAAACGCATGCACGCACCCCACCCACTCGTTCTGCACGCTCCCAAATCCCAGTCAGTTCCGCTAGTGATAAGAATCTAGAAAATAAAGGAAAATCAAAAAGATTCAAGAGAGGCCAAGCCAAGGAGGAGCCGTGATCAGCTGTTACGTGGTCCTGTTACGGACAGAAATCCGTGACGGCTGGGCCCTTGCCATTACAGCCACCAGGCCAAGCCAAAGAAGCCACATTAGCCGAAGGAAAACAGCTAAAATGGATCTGCACACAAACCTACTCAATACCACTTGCTTTTCTCTCTTTTTATTACATCAAGTTATTCTTTGCTTATTCTTAAACAGCTAAGCTACTCTTTTAGTGTCAACCATTTGAAAAGGTTCATGCTTTTACACACAGGCAAAAAGAAAATATCTGCACTACCTGAACTCTCATTAAAAATAATATTTATATTGAAAAATGTGCTCAAGATGTACTGCATCCTCCAAATGTCCAAGATACATCACATTTATTTAGACTGAAATGTGAGATCATTTGTGGATCTTTGTACGTTCTGGGAGTCATTTTACTGATTTCGAGGCCTGAAGGTAGTATTGCGCACAAATGGTAGTTTTTATTGGAATGAATTTCAAGGCATTTCATAGTAAGAATTCAAGCACCACAAAGTAGAAAAAAGAATATATTTTCACTAGCAGAGGACTTTTAAAAAACAGAACATTAACTAAAAGGGTATTTGCAAATGCTACATTGGCAATGTCTTTGCTAGCAAAAGGACTGCATTGACAGAAATGGCAAATTTGCTTTTGGGCGTAGAGGCCGTTGCATAAACAATATGCCACAAATTGGCAAGCAGTCGTCATTGTTTACGGTAAAGCTGGCACTACTTCAGAGAAAGCAAGGGGCATATCATCACTGTGAAATTCAGTTTGTTTGAAGTCCTGGGAAACAGTGCCCACCATTAAGTGCAACTCTTCTTCCCAAACATTACAAAAAGTTCAGAATAGTATTTTATTAATGTTGAGAAAATATAGTGTTTAGAACTACACAGAAATAATACATCTTGGACCTTTTCACATTTGCATAAAAGAGCTATCACGAAGTGTATTATTTACTTAGAGATTATCTGCTTGTGCAGATTGTAAAGTTTAAATTAGATGCTAGAAACTGTATCTAGATGTGCACCTGCCTAGTGCACTGAGCAATCCTTAGTTGGTATTTGCTGGAGAGATAGATTTACAGGCGTTTCTTTTTAACCTTTTAAGTAGCATCAGGCAGTTGTAGAGCCAGCAAGCAAGCGGAATATATTCTTCAAGTAAGACCTGTGAGGGTTAAAAAAAAAAGTTAAATAGCAAATAGACATTACAGTTTACCAATAATAACATAGCTTTCTCTAGCTTTCTTTTAGCTACACAATACAAAAAAAGTGTTTCTTTTTAAATATAACAATATATTGGGGGTTATAAATACATCCCATTACTATCTTAGCTCAGAAGTCGACAGAAGGAAAGCCAGGCATTATCCTGATATTTCAAGACAACCAATTTTAGCACAAAATGCTTTTTAAAAACACCTTTCATTTTGTTTGTGGGTTGCTACCAATAAGTTCTTCAGCTTTGAAACTGAGGGTTATACTTGAAATGTATACAAACACATGTTATATAATATCCTTGGGCTTGTATATGTCCTGTAATTGTTTTTTTTATGATTAATTTGGAATAAAAGAAAGTGATATTCTAGTTTTTAAAAAGCTTTATACTTTGCTGACTAATAGGAACTAGAGTTGCATTTATCAACCTAGGATCCTGGGGAGGGGTTGCAAGGGGATGTTACAGGGGTCGCTAAAGACCATCAGAAAACACCGTATTTTCTGTTGGTCAGGGGGGTTCTGTGTGGGAAGTTTGGCCCAATTCTATCGTTGGTGGAGTTCATAATGCTCTTTGTAGCTTAACTATAAATCCCAGCAACTACAACTCCCAAATGTCAAGGTCTATTTTCCCCAAACTCCACCGGTGTTCACATTTGGGCATATTGAGTATTCATGCCAAGTTTGTTCCAGAGCCATCATTGTTTGAGTCAACAGTGCTCTCTGAATGTAGGTGAACTGCAACTCCAAAACTCAAGGTCAATGCCCACCAAACCCTTCCAGTATTTTCTGTTGGTCATGGGAGTTCTACGTGTCAACTTTGGTTCAATTTCATCATTGGTGGATTTCAGAACGCTCTTTGATTGTAGGTGAACAATAAATCCCAGCAACTACAACTCCCAAATAACAAAAATCAATCCCCCGCAATCCAACCAGTATTCAAATTTGGGCGTATCGGGTATTTGTGCCAAATTTGGTCCAGTGAATGAAAATACACCCTACACATCAGATATTTACATTACGGTTCATAACAGTAGACAAATTACAGTTATGAAGTAGCAAAGAAAATAACTTTATGGTTGGGGGTCACCACAACATGAGGAACTGTATTAAGGGGTCATGACATTAGGGAGGTTGAGAACCACTGAACTAGAGGGAAGCATGACAGAGAAACTTTTCATACAGTGATGTATATTTAACTAACAATTTGTGGTATAATTTGTCTTACATGTAAGTGATACTTTATCAATTGATTAAACTAGGTGATGCTGGCTTCACGTTTTTTATATCAATTAGCAGAACAGGAACCATCAACTAGCATTCTAAAGAGAATTCTGTTTTTCATGTTGAAACTTCAACTCTTTTTCTGGCATGGATATTCTAGAATATTATGCCTGTTAGCAAGTATCAAAAGTAGACATGGCTTCAGGACATAGTTGGTAAATGTACATGGAGCACAGAGCAGGGAGAAGGATTAATGCTAAATCTAGCTGCAACGTACTTGTAGATGCTTATTGAAAACATGATAGCTGTGTCTGTTATGTGTAAGAAATCCATTGGTGAATTCCATTCCACAAAAAAAAAACTGTTTACACAGCAATAGCATAAAGGTATGGCTCTCCACAGTCTCACCTCCCACTTGCCATGATCCCTGTGGCCAAATTTTCCTCTGAGAAGGTGCAAGATGTGACTACTACAAACTTGCATAACTAGTTGTTAAAAATACTGTTTGCAAAGACATCTTCCCTTTAAAGATAAATGAAAACGTTCAATTGCATTACCATTATATTCACATTGATTCAGAATTATGTCCTACTGAGTTCAATACCCAGGTAAGAATGCACAGAATTTGAGTCTACCCATGAAATCTAAATGTTTCAAAAGTATGGCTCATTTTGTTAAATGGGACTGACATCCACATATATGTGAACAAAATTTTCGCTTAAACCTACTATACTGTTTGAAGATTCATGACGTTTTATTTCAAAGCTAAACACTGGTCATGCGGAATGAACAAAGGCTGTTGCCTCTGGGGGTATTGGGTATCACTTCAAAAATCAAATTTAAATGGGCCATGTGTAATTCTTACACAGCTGTGAAAAATCAGCTTTATATATTAAAGAAAATCCTTGCCAGCATCGTAAGCATCTGTGAACTTAGAAGTGTACTATACATTTGTATACATTTGTCATATTCTGTGACAAAATCTCCTTGTTTTGCTTGGGGTATCTGGTTGACACATTTGACACACACAATGGACTTAATGTTTGCCTGCCCTGCATGGCAAGAATTGTGCTATCTTCATTACACTTTAGGATGTTTAATGTTGAATAAAAAAAACAATGCCATGGAGAGGCTCTAAGGAAAAGGAAAGACTTCCATGTATCCATACATAATGCAGAATCTACCTACAATATGGGAATGGTACCATTATGTTACCACACTACACTTCATGAGTCAGCATTACGCTGAAAGGGACCACCAAGAGGCAAGAATAGCTCTGAAATAACATTCAGATCAAAGTTGGAAATAATACTATTTGGAAAACAAATTTAAGGTTATACATTGAGCTCTCAAGAAAACTAGAATTTCCAAAGTTGGCAGAAAAAAGGGGTATAATACTTGCAAACTTTGCTTTGATGTATTTCCAAAAGAGGAAAAAGAAGACACTTCATGTGGTAATATTTGAATGAGTATTTGCAAACACAAAGGAAAAGCTTTTTTGAAAAAGCAAATGTTCCATCTGAAGAATGCAAACATGGGATTACATTCTGGTAGAGACATAAATAGATAAAATAATGTTTTTCGGTAAAACATTACATCCAAATAAACACCATATATTTACTCTGATACAATTGAAAGGAGTGTTACTTTCAAAGCAAATATTGATGATGATGAAATTTGAATTCCTTTTCCATTCACAACACTCTAGCACATTCAATAAAGTGTGTCCAAGTGAAAATAGTGTCTATTTCACATTATGAGTTATGATAAAATCAAAATAATTGTAGAATTGAAAAGTCTCCTAAAAGGATAGCTAACACTCCCCCACAGCCACCCGTAAAAAATCTGATCAAAATACAAATTTATCTCCACTGATCTGCAATTCTTCAAAAATAATGTTTTCAATTACATGTTCAATCACAAATTTTAGACTCATTTGTTCAAACAGGAAAGTCTTCTCACCTTAGTCAATGATGGATTTAAGGAACGCAAAGCTGTTAAGTGGTCTGTGATAATCTAGAGAACAAAAATGACATGTTTTTTCACTATACTTCATATCTAACTGTATAAAAAATACAAAACATGACATTAGAAACAAGAATCACTAGCCACAGTCAATACAGCTAGGTCCATAGATCTCAATGGAAAATGACCACTTTCTATTGTAAAATACAGTTTACCTTAAAGAACAAATAACTCCAAGTGCTGAAGATTTCAGTTTTAACTGTTAACAATAATTGCCAATGGGCCCTTGGGATCTGTTGGGGTTTGGTTCCAGGACCCACTTCCACTCCACGAATACCAAAATACATGGATGCTCAAGTCCCATTATATACAATGGCATCATAAAATGGAATAATTTATATAAAATGGCAAAAGACAAGTTTTCTGTTTGGATTTTCTATGGAGAGGAAACCTGTGCATGCAGAATATGTGGATACAGGGGGCTGAATAGATATTTTCGAAGTGTGCAGCAATGCTTCATATTCTCAGAACAGGGTGATTTTTTACAAAAAGCTGAAAGGAAACATATATCAAGTCTATTGCCAGTTTAACCATACACGTATTGTTCACTACTTATTATGGCTACATTATATGATCTGGCCCGCAAGTCTTCCCACTGGGTTTGCTATCACTGTACCTTATCTTTCCACAAAGGACCAACAGTTCATAGTTGGAATTTACTGTGGTAGTGTCCAAAAGGCCTCAACCCACAGTGCAGCAGCTTCAAGAGTTTTATAGAAAGGTAGGGAAGGTAGGGAACCTCACAATAAGAGGTCATGATCTAGCAGAAAGTTTACTCTGTTTTGTGCATGTGTGTGCAACTTTGAATGCTTTAAACCACGTAAAGCTCTCAACTGGAGAAGGAGAGAGGGGAAAAATGGCCACCTGTCTAGTGATATAAAACCAATCTTCTCTTAAACGTGCCAGAATAATTTTTCTCCACCTCAACCACAGTTAAAGCCTTCAGTCTATTCATTACTGTCCTTTTATAGTATTTTTATTTAATAAAACCTATTAAGACTACCATACAAATCTCTTTACTTATGCTTTTATCTTTTAACTGATCAATTTTTATATTGCTGACATCCCGTCTTCACCATTTGCTCATTTAAAAATTCATAGTACATGAGCGATGTCTCTGGAGAAAATGTCTATAAAATTTGTTACAGCTGGCAAATGTGTATGAGTCAGTGATAGCACATGACTAAATGCTTCACAGAAAATAAAACTTGTTTCTGTAGTAAGCAGAACTGTTTAAATGTTATTTATTTTTATGTTTCAAAGAAAATATATTGTGAAGTGCTGCATTGATTTAATACGCAACAGTGTCTGTGTACACGCTGTACAAGGAAAATTTATGAAACCTTTGCACAACTCCTTTAATTGAATTTTCCAAATCTCTCACCACACACAAATAATCAATATCTTCTGCAGAGAAAACCAGTCAGAATTATTACAGTCTTTCTTTTCAATTTTGTTGTCATCAGCACATACAGAGCACCTGGATATTTGTAATGTCTAGATGGAAAGTTATTTACGTCTCTTAAAATGTAATTGCTATTAAGTGAGACTAAACCGATGTGCCTTGCCTTTTTTATTTAAAATAACTATTATACATCTCAAAGAAGAAACAGGTATTTAGAGTACTTATAGTTACATACAAGTGATCATATACAGGACCAATATAATTAGTAACAGTTTAACTTTTTATTAAATCCTCACATTTGAGTGCTACTGCATCTTATGAGATGAGGGTCCTCCAAGAGAAGGCATTAAAACAAAAGTATAAAGGACATGATACATAATGTTGGTAGAATCTCACACAAGCAACACACTTTGACAAGTCAATATGTGCATAGGTGTGTATGTATGGTTAGTTGTGTGTATGTCTCAAGCCTTACAACCATATGTCTCATATGCATTTGTATGTCTGCCACCAAAGTTAATAGCTTAATATTTCATCTACATAGCATAGGCTATTAAATCACTGGAGAGGTTTGTGGTTTGCCTCCAAAATATCTATCATAAAGGTAGCCTCGGCCTGCGATGCAGCACACATTGAAGGCTATATTTTAAAATCCACACCCTAATTACAGCTGTGCCAAGTATTAAGACAAGTGTCTTGTAGGAAACAAAGTGTTCTTTCATATAAAGAATGAGGGGGAAAAGGGGGACCAAACCACTTTGTATTTATAGGTCAAAAGAATAACTGAGTACCAACCATTTTTCTTCCTGTTAAGTAGCATCCCTCTACGAGACAGATTAAAGTCTCACCTGAAGCACACAAAAAAAATCTCCACAAAAATCAATACAGCCAAAACTTTGCCTCTTACAAAATAATCTTAAGAATGGCACAGCTTTCAAATGAACTACACTATGTGTTTACCTAGGGGGAACTCAAGCGCAGCTCACTTCTTAGTAGGCATGTACAAGATTTTACTATAGGGATATATCCCTAAGCCACTCTGAAGGAACACGATTGCAGTTCTGGACACATTTACTTCTGAGTAAACACACATAAAATGTGCTCCCTTTTAGCTTTTTAAAAAGCCTCCCCTGCCCTGAGACTATGAAGCACTACTGCACACACTTTGAAAATGTGGATAAATACAGTCAGTATTCTGTATCCATGAATTCTGAATTTCATGGATTTCCTCCCCCCACCAAAGAAAGTGCAAAAATACAGGGTAGATTATGTCTGAGTGTTGTTGTTGTGTGCCTTCAAGTCACATCTGACTTATGATGACCTTAAGGCAGACGTGTCAAACTCACGGCCCTCCAGATGTTTCAGATTCCAACTCCCAGAAGCCCTAGCCAGTTTGTCCAATGGCCAGGAATTCTGGGAACTGACATATAAAATACCTGGAGGGCTACAAGTTTGACACCACTGCCCTAAGGTGAGCCTATATGAGGTTTTCTAGGCAGTATTTGTTCAGAGAATGTTTGCCCTTGCCTTCCTCCAAGGCTGAGACAATTTGACTCTTCAAAATCACCCAGTAGGTTTCCATAGCTGAACGGGGATTCACAATTTGTCCTCCAGTGTCCTGGTTCAACATGCAAACCTCTACACCAGGCTCTCAGACCTGAATGCACATTTATTTTATTTCATTATTTATTTGGTAAATAAATTATCTCCAAATCAATTATTTATCTCCAAAGCTCTATAGGCAGTTTACACATACATAGGACTGCAACACAAGAGCATCATAAATGTAAAAAGAAAATAAGAAAACTCTTTTTACAAATATAAATATGACTATTTAGCACCTGATCTGTCTATTTGCAAACTTCTTTAAATGAGCCAATATACTGATATCTAGTAAAACTGTGAAGATGACTACACATAGAAAATCCAAACACTACTTCCCTTACTGTGTAGATTGATGAAATGCCTCAAACCAAGTACATCTCTGGCAGTGAACAACCTTGAAAGAGGGGTGAACTCTCAAATCTTAATGATACAGGAAAACTGTGTAGGACATATGCCAAGTTCTTCAAGAACGACAAGAAGAGAATACATGTAGACTCAGCTGGTTTATAAAGTGGGAAAGAATTGCATACTTTATCTAACAAAGCTCAGAATACAGATTTTTATTTGTTGGAATCAGAATTGGGCAGCTGTGGCACTCCCATGTCTTCAAATTGCAACTCCTTCACTCATTTGCTATGGAGGATTTATCTGCTGGAAACTGTAGGCTGAAATTTTGGGAGTGGTTGAGGGCTCTGCTTATCACCCCCAGAGTAGATTGTAGTAAATAATTCAAACCACTCTCTCATCATTACTACAACAGCAAAACTGTTCCTTGATCTGGTTTCCAATGAAGGTAGCAGCTATTCCTCTTTCTTCTACAAGTGTACCATTGAGGGATGTTTGAATGACCCTAATATGGGAACCTTCCAGCAATCTGTGGATGACCTACTGGTCAAGATCATCAGCTGAGACCTATTGTTTTTCTCCAACACACTGGAAGACACTGTGGCAAAGGATTTATGTAATGGATGGAACAGATAAAGATACCATCCAATTGTACAACCACAGTATCAGACTTTTAGATCACTTCTCACATGATCAGAGAGAAGCACAGCCATAGCTCACTGACAGTGCCTGGTCTTCCAGCAGAAAGCTCCAAGTTCAGTACTTCCAAACTGGGATGGAAAACCTTCTACCAAAAACTTGAAAATCAATTAGTCAATGTATGTTTTAGGACGTAACTCACATCATTCCAGACCAGAGCCATTCTGCATGGAACTGTTGGGAATTATGATTCAAAACAACTGAAAACCACTAGATTGCTTAACTCTGGTGAAAACAGTACTGAGCCAGATGAATCAACAATCTGACTCAATAGGCTACCTTTCACAAAAAGGCCCTAAACACTAAAATGTAGAGAAAATATTATATTGTGTATTGTCCTAAATGTGCAGCACAGGACACATCTATTTCCCTACTGCTACCCAACCACCACCACTCCCAAATATCTGCTCTTTCTCTGCTCAATTTAGTCATTTTATCTAGTATATTTCTATTCTGTGATTCCATCATGAACTCAAAGCACTGTGACAAATATGTGATTCCCAGGTTGTCTTTCAATCAGGCAAAGTCTTGACATAGATCTGCTTAACTTCAGCAAAATGGCTGTATCATGCAGGTGAATCACAAAGTAGATGCAAAAGGCTAGGAACAAAATCGCTGTTGGATCCAATATTGTCTGCTGGCCTCCCACTGCTCCATGCTCTTACATGACAGAAAATCTGTCTTGAAACCTACTGAGAAAATGGGACTGTATGAAGTATATAACAGGACACACGAAAGTACTTTTCTAAAAGCCTGAAAAACTTCTGTATTTGTCTTGTCTACCCAAGTACATTGATAAACAGATACTTTAATTCTGGTTGATTAAAGAATTGTCTAGCAAGTAAAGCATCACTTTTAGATCTTGAAGGACATTCAAGTATGTTCAAAGAGTCAGTGGGGTGAAGGTTCATTTTGTTTGCACTCAGCCCTTCAAAAG